ACAAGAATTTGCTGGTAAATATCTGCAGACTTTTTGCTTCTCCGTCTCCCAGAGAAGTCTGGCTGGACCAGCATGCTGCCTGCTTGTGCTCAGGGCTGCTGCCTTGCTCTGAGCTGGCACAAGTGTGGTCCCCAGAGCTGCTGTGCTTCTGTTTGCACGTGGCCTCAGCTATTCCCTTGTGACTGAAGCAGCTGGTGAGTGTAGGTGGTGCTGGGCCCCGTGCTGGGCTCCTGTTCTCTGTTGTCATTGCTGCATGCAAGAGATAGCAGAGCTGTCCCACCCAGCTCCTGAATAAGGGCACATTTGGGCAGAGAGTGGAGAGCTCTGCATGTTGCTGGAGGTTTGCTCGTTGTTTGGAGAGGACCTCCAGCCGTGCTCTGCTGCTGCTGCAGTGCTGCTGCATGTCTGGCTGTGCACTGGGAGCCCTGCAGGAGCCTTGTCTCTGCTGTCCTGAGCTGTCGCCAGGGGCTGCAGCTCTGCCTGCCAGGAGCAGCACTGTGAACTGCTTTGCATCCATATGCAGCCACCTCTTGATGCACCTTCCAATGCTCTTCTCTCCACCTTCCCTGTGTGGCAGCTACGTGGTGCCAAAGTTAATAAAGCCCCAGAGGCCGGGGCTGAGCTGTGCTCGCTGGCTGGCTGCCTCTTGCTGAAGCTACTGCTTTCTCACATCCTCTGGGCTGTGGAGAGACGAAGAAGGCCCAGGTTGCAGAGATCTCCTGCCCTGTGCCTTCCAAGAGTGGCACGAGCAGTGTCTGCCCATGCAGCGGAGCCACAGCCATGGGCACAGCAGGTGCAGTGGGTGATGCTCTGCCACGTGGGGTGAGGAGCAGAGAGCTGCTGGGTACCCATCGCTCTGGCAGTGAGCTGGGGGGAAGGGAGACTTTCCTGCCTTGTTGCATCCTTTGTAGCTGACGGTCAACTCTGTTTTCTGCTGATCATAAGGGCTCATCTCTGGTGTGGCAGTCCTGACATGGCTGTGGGCAAAGGCAGTGCTTGGAGCTCCCTGTGTGTTTACCTGGTGCTGGCCAGGTCAGCGCGCTCTGTGCTGGTGTAGCATCACTCCCTGGCTGCAGGGCTGTGATGGAGCAAGCAGTGCTGCCTCTGCCTGTTGTTGTCTGCCCATGCCTTCCCCCTCCCATGCCTGCTTTCCCTTGCACCAGGCTGCATTTGTAAAATGAAATAAATATTGACACGGACGGGATGCTATTCAATTTGTCCTGATCACTGGGCTGCGGTGAGTCCTGACAGAGCGGAGTGTAAAACATAAGCTCAGGATGTAATTTCTACTGTCAACATGATGTACAGTAAGGCTGTGCCAAATATACACCGACAAACGGTGTAAGCTCTTGCAGGGAGGAGAAGGAGAGCTGTGCTGATAATTGGGAAGTGGGGATGACGGAGCAGTGGTAGGAGAAGGGGGCATGTTGGGATGGTGTGGGAGCCTGCCTGGCAGAGCAGGACCTGGGCACACAGCCATGTGAGTGCATGCATGCTGTGCAGCTGCAGGCTGCTCGGGATGCTGTGCTGGGACCGAGTGGCTGCAGAAAGTAGCAGCTCCCACTTTGCTGTTTGTGGCAGGAAGGAGTGGCACCTCCAGCTTTGTGGCTGGATGCTCATCAGTGATGTGGTGAAATAAATGCTATGCTGGTCATGATCCCTGTGTGTGGGACCTTCTGTGTTGCTGTGGGGTACCTCGAATCCTGCTGTAATGCAGACATTAGCATGGGACAAGGAGTGGCACACCTTCTATATAAGCACAGGCTGAGAGCTGGGGGTGTACAGCCCGGAGGGGAGAGGGCTGTGGGAAGAGCTGGGTGCAGCCTGTGGGTATCTATAAAGGCTGTGAGGGAGGGGGCAGGCTCTTGAGCAGGGCCTGTGTGATAGGGCAAGAGAAATGGTTTCAAACTAGAAGAGACAACCTTTGGATATAAGGAAGAAGATTTTTACAATAAGGGCTGTGAGGCAGTGGTACAGGTTGCCCAGAAATGAGGTGATTGCCCTGTCCCTGTAGGCACTTAGGCTGGAGGGGTGTCCCTGATAATTGCAGGGGTTGGACCAGATGCCCTTTAAAGGTTCTTTCCAACTCAGCCCGTTCTATGACTGTAATGTGGGGCTCTCAGGTACTTTGCCCCTGGAAGAGCTCTGTGGTGTGATAACCAGAAGGAGAAATGTTCACTGACACAGTGCTGGCCCTAGGCATGGCCTGGAGCTGTGACAGAAGAGGAACAGATGAAAATTTTTGGGTAGAATGTGAAAATCCTTGCCAAAGATATGTCTCTGGGTATGTATTCTTATGTGGCTCTGGGTACCAAGATCACAGAATGGCTTAGGTTGGATGGGACCTCGGAGATCACACAGTTTCGATCCCTGCCATGAACTGGTTGCCCTCCACCACATCAGGCTGCCCAGGGCCCCATCCAACCTGGCCTTGAATGCCTCCGGGGATGGGGCATTTCATTCAGGGCTTCTCTGGGAAGCTGTGCCAGTGCCTCACTGCCCTCAGGTCTGGAGCTCACAGTGGGGTGAGTAGAATCTGGGACCTGAGTGTCTGGGAGGTGCACTGGGACTGGGATGTGTTCTGCCACCACACACAGCCTGCAAATCGCTCAGCCGAATGGAGCTGAACTTTGTCAGTGTGAGGTGGCCACTAGCAAACCACATTAGTTCAGGCATAGATGTAAGATGAGAAATCTGTTAAATGTAAAGCGCAGCATAATGGCTGGGACTCAGAGCACAGTGTTGTGGTTCCCACAGCAACGGCAGCCCAGCCCATGCGCGCCCAGCAGGACTCTCCTTGCCGTGCCAGAGCTGCTCTATGGAGTGCTCAGATGCAACAGGGCTGAGCAAGTTGCCTTGGGAACTGTGGGCCAGCTCTGTTGGAGCCATGCTGGCCCACTGCAGCATCTCCTACCCTTGCATACTCTGCCTTGCTTCAGTATGTGCATTTAGCTTGTTCTTTTACTGCTTTGTGGATGCTGTTTTGGGTTTAGTTGCTGAGGAGGTCTTCAGAACTGTTATGTCTGTAGTGCTGTTGCTGCCTGGTAGAGCACGGCGTTATGAATCACACAGTGCAGCCTGGATGGCCTCAGGGCACAGGGGGAGATGGCTGCAGCTGGTGATGGCCTCTCCCCAATGCTCTGCTTATGTGGCAGTCCTTGAGAACATGTACATACACAGTTGTTCTGCTTCTAGCAGCTATGTTGATCAAGTACAATCCATTAGTAGGAGGATTCTGGACACATCTGGAGGCATTGCCTGGGGAGTAGCAAGAGCAGAGATGCTGGATTGGGTGTTCTTCCCATGCATATTGCATGTACTGGGTGCTGACCCAAAGCTCTCACTCTGGCACAAGTTCAGCCTGCTGACATCTGTCACTGTCGGGGGAACTCGCTCAAAAATAACTACAGATTTCCCAGGTATGAGAAATTGGAGAGATGCTGTTTGTGGCAGTGAAGCTTTGTATCTCGTTATTTGTATCTTCTCTGTATCCACGCAGGAATGATAAAAACAGATTTGTACGCATCCTGTTACTTTGTGAATCTCTGTTCTTGAAGCCTGCTGCAGGTGGGGCAGCTCCTTCACATCTGTGTTTGGCCCATGAAGGGAGCAGTCGCTTTATGCTGCCAGACTCGTAACAGTGGGAGGCAACAAGTCAGCCCATCACCCACCCACAGATCATCCTGCTCTCCTAGATGTAGTCTGCCTTGTAAAATGCTTTGTGGCGTTTGTTTATAGGAATTCCTGCCCTTTACGTTGGCAGGAATAACCTGTCCTCGTGGGGCAGCGGCTGCGAGAGGGAGCCTTGCCATCAGTGACGACCTTACGGGGCCACTGTGAATATGTCTGAATAACAAACAGCCTGGCAGGAATGTTAGCGCTTCTGCACCATGGCTCCTAACAAAAAAATGCACTGGGGACTCTGTGCTTCTTGGAGCATGAAGTGCACAGGGCTTGCACGTGTGAGAGCTGATATGTGCATGTGTGCGTGGAATGCGGCATGTGTCCATTGAGGGGAACCTGGCACGTGTAGACCCAAATGAGGCACAAATATGGATAGAGAGGAGTGATGGTGTGAGGACTCTTAGCTGTGTGCGTGAAATATGAGTGAGCCCTTGTATGCAAATGTGTTCGTATACATTGCCTGACGTGCTGTGCACAAACCAGGGGTGGGCAGCTCTGAATGATGCTTGGCACTTCCTTGGGTCAGCAGCCCTGTGCTTCTCAGTGTTTGTCTGGACAGGGAACTGCAGAACTGACAGTTTGTGGATGCTGTAGGGAACCGACCTGCACGGTAGGTGCAGTCACAGGAGAGAAATGGCAAGGGCAAGGAAGGGCTATGGTGATGTTTGCTGGCCGCCCCTTCTCTGGGCTGCTCAGGCTGTTTGGTGTCCTGCAGGGGGCTGTGCAGGGCATGGTCCAGGCAGCTGCTCAGTGTCCTTCACTGGGAAGCAGATAGCTATACCTGGTGCCTCACACGTGTGACCCAGGACTGACTCCCCTTTCTGTCCATCTACTTTCCCTCTGCTATTCAGAGTAACAGATGGCAAGAGATTAACTCCTCCAACCGGTGAAGATGAGCATGTTTTGTGCCTGGCGGGTGTTGTGGAGCTCTGGTGGAAGCTCAGGGTGTTGATGGAGGGAGGTATGGGTGCTGCATGCCTATCCCCCACCCTTATTGAATTCCCTCTCCCCGAGTGCTCTCGTGTTTTCATCCTTACCACCTGATGAGTGGCTTGAAGCTTACTTTCTTTAAAAAAAAAAAAAAAAAAATTTTGCTTTAACATCATCCAGGTGATGAGCCCTTGAATAGCTGCCTTTCTCCAAGCAGAGAAGTGAGGCACCAGGACTGGTGGCAGGGGCTGGAGAGCCAGCAGCTCGTGCTGACAGAGCTCTGCCAGCCTCCCTCCTGCAGGACCAGTGGGGCCAGGCACTGCAGTGGGACACCCCAAGGCAGGGTGGGGGGGAGGTACCAACTGAGGGCACAGGGGCAGCGGGAAGCACGGAGCCCCATTCTTGTATCAGCACTGACACTTGGCCTTTTCCAGGCTCCCAGGAATGCTGCTGGCTGCCCTACACCTCTATGCGTGAGCCAGCAGAGGATGGAAGCGACCGGCATCAGCTGGGCCAAGGATCCTTCGTCAGGTGCTGGGATATCACCCCCCTGAAGACGGGATTTACAAATGGGCTCATGAGCAGAACGTGCAACACGGGCCTCTGTGCTGCCGGACCCCTCGTGCAGTGCTGCAGGGCCGCCGTGGGACAAACAGAGGCTGTCTGCAGCACCTCGTCCACTTAACTCGTCTGTGAACCTTTCCATGGAGAAGCTGTGCTGTGCTCCCTGCGGATGCTGGTCTGGGGCAGCGGTGTGCTGTGTGTGGCCGTGGAGCTGCCTGCCTGTGGTGTGGGCGCTGAGCTGTGTGTGACCCCACTCCCAGGCACGGCTGCTGCAGCTGATCCTGGAGCCGTGCAACCCTGTCCCCAAGGACAAATGCCAGCTGCCAGACTCTTCTCAGGAGATGCAGGAGCAGCCTGCAAGGCACCAGCGCTGACTGCTCTTGAACTAGCAGCAGGCGGCCCGGGACACCTGTAGTTGCAGACGAGACTGCAGCCAGCTGGAACAGGAGGTGTCCAGCTGCAGGATGTGGCATGCTGCAGGGATGGGGACGCTGCAGTGACCAGTGAGTCCCACGCTGCCAATGTTGACTTTACTCCTCCTCTTCCCATAAGGATGCCAATTGCCTGTCCAAAATCTGCAGCTCATGCAGCCTCCTAGAGTGCGATGGCAAAGGGTCTGCAGGGCTGCTGCTGGACCATGCTGCTGCTGCTCTGTGCCATCCAGGAGCTGGGGGCCTGGGCCGTGCACACTGCGGCAGAGGGTCCTGACCTGGGGCAGCCGGGGGATCCCACACTGCTGGCCGGCGGGCGAGTGAAGCGTGGCTGGGTCTGGAACCAGTTCTTTGTGGTGGAGGAGTACACGGGCACAGAGCCACTGTACGTGGGGAAGGTAAGGCAACCCTGGGGCTGGCTGAACCAGTGCAGAATGGGACGTGCTGCAGCATGGCTGAGCCTGGTGAGGTGAAGGGACACTGTTAGAGCAGCAGCCAGGAGATGGACTGGGATGGCAGGAGCCTGGCTCTTTCCTGGGTGGACTTAATGTTCTCCCATGGACCTAAGGAAGGAACACACCCAAATCTGTATCTGTCATGTCCCACTTTTGTGCAAAGTTCCCATGAGTGTGAGGAGAGATGCAGTGCTGGGTCTCACAAAGGCAGCAGGGAAAGCTCAACCTCATCTCTGGGAGGCCAGGCCAGTGGGGTGAGCACTGTTTACTCTACTCTGCTTTGTCTGCACGCTGCAGTGCTGATGGAGCACTCAGGGCCTTCCTGCCCCAGAGGCTGCTGTAAACATCACAGCCTTGACCTGCTCAGGGTGCTCAGTTCCCTGTCTTGAAGCTCTTTCAGCATGGGATGGTGTGCTGGGTGCGTTTCCTTGCCCTCCGAGTCTCCCTGCTGGTCCTGGAAGGGCTGTGCTGTTGGACCTGTGAGCTGCAGCTGTTTCCATGCTAATCATCTGAGCAGACCGGGGCTGGCAGAGTGGATGCCTCGCTGTGGTCATGGCATGGAAATCCTGTGCCCAGGGTGAGGTTGGTGTGGGGCTGAGGCATCTCAGGCTGACCTGCATAGCGCGGTGCAGAAGGAGCTCAGTGCAGGTGTGTAGGGGCTCTGAGGGCTGGCACTGGGTACAGAGCTCGCCAGAGGTGTGCCCAGCATGCAGGTGCTGTGGGGCACTGTCTGGGATCTGCACTGTGCCACCTCACTGACCCCAGTGCCAGTCCTACTGGGATGGGCACACAGTGGCCCTGGCGTCCCGAGGCTGTCTGCCTTGGGGTTGCTGTGCTTTGTCCTTCTCTGATAGCTGTGCATAGGGCATCCCGTGGTTCCCACGTGCTGGACGGATGTCATCTGTGTACTAATGAAACAGCAGTGCTGGCTGCTGGGCCCAGCCCAAGGGAGGGCTGTTCCTATGGGTGCACGGACTCTCCCCAAAGGAAAATGCCCAAGCAAGAGCTCGTGCAGCAAGGCTGTCTGATAGCTTTGGCTGTCTGGTTATGAGTCTGGAGGAGGCTCGAAAATGGCCTTTTTGGCTGGAGGCCAGGTGGAATTTCAGCCGTGATTTGTGTCCATTTCAGCAGACACTCGAAAGCCGCACTCCTCCGCCGCGACGCTCGATGCGGTTACAGTTAATTCACAGCTCCCCTGGGAGGTGACTCGAAGCATCAGGCCCTGTCAAACTCCAGAGGTAGCCTAGCAACAGCCTCATCTCCAAAATGAACCCGGGAACCTAAAACTAACCCATTTTACAGCCCCTTTCACATCACTCAATGCATCACCCACCCTGCTTAGAGCAAGCAGCCGGGCTGTGCTGAGAACAATCCCTTTTTGGTGATGCTCCCTGGGGCTGAGGGCAGCCAGAACCCACGGATGGGAGACACTGATGCCCAGTGGGGGGGCAGTGCTGGGAGCTCACAGTGCCCACGGGATGCGCCCTCCATGGATGCTCCTCGCACACCTCCGTGTGCTCTTCCAAAGGCCGATACCATTTCCCTGAAATCTGGGTTCTCCAGCTAATCCTTCCTCTGAACTGTAATTTCCCCTGAGGCCGCTGTCAGTTTGATGTGGATTTCTTTGTTTTATTTTTTTTTTTTTTAAATAGAATTATGGGGTCAGCACTAGTTACAAACTTCTGCATGTGGACAGATCTATTTTAGATAGAGGAGAGGATTAAAGGGGGGAAAAAAGCAGATTTAATTAAGTTGCTAATATTTAAAGAAAATTGATGAACTCGGGCTTTATGAGTTGGAGCAAACAAAGTGTGCCTTTATTATGGGCTAGTTTTTATTTGATTTTCTTTCTTTTCCAGCCCCAGAGTCATTTTTTATTTGTGTATCTGTGCTTTCTGTTTAATCGCTTTTAATAAGGAATGTGCACCTCTGTTCACATTTAATTTCGATTTAATTATTAGCAAGTAATTAATGGCTCTGTGAAATTCCTGGGTTCGGCTCTTTGGGACGAGGGAACTGTTTTCCCATAGAACAAATGGGTGCAATTGGACCCATGGATGCACTGACGGCTGTGGCACTGCTGTCCCTGCAGTGAGCACGGGGGGGTCCCCTTGGAGGGGTCCCATGGCACACAGCACAGCCCAGAGCTCCCAGGAAAGGTGCAGCAGTGCTGTGGGATCGCCCTGGGATCCGCTCTGCAGCATTCCCCCTGATGTCTGCAGTCAGTTTTCCAGCCCTCCCCCATTAGTTGTTGTTTAGCCAAGCAGCACAGATTTAGGTCTTTTAATCTTCCCTTGTAAATCAATCTGTACGGCCCCTTGAGCCCCAAGCTCCATTTTTCTTCCTTGCTCTCCAGTTTGCAGGGATGCTGGTGTCTGCTCCGAGCAGTCGGCGGTGAGCAAATATGTAAAGAGGATGTGCTGGGAGCTCAGCGTGGTGCTGGGTGGTTGATCTCTGCCCTAATTATTAATCACCAGCCTGGTGTTCAGCAGGAAAGCGCAGCTTTCTGCTACCTGTGCTGAGCAGAACAGGTGCAACTTTGTCAGAAAAGCTCAATTGCTAACGGGGTAACCATGAACTTCAGGGATGTTAATAACATGGAGGGGTTGGTGAGGACCCCCCAGTCAGAGGGGTGTGCGGGTCTCTAGGGCAGGATGCTCTGCACACCATTCCCTAGGGTGCTCTGATCCCTGTGGGGCTGTGATTGGATGGCATGGGGCTCCCATTGGTACTGTGGGACCCCCATTAGCACTGGAAGACCACTGTTGGTACTGTGGGACCCTCATTGGCACTGGAAGACCCCTATTGGTGCTGTGGGACCCCCATTGGCACTGGAAGATCCCTATTGATGCTGTGAGACCCTCATTGGCACTGGAAGACCCCTATTGGTGATGTGGGACCCCCATTGGCACTGGAAGACCCCTATTGATGCTGTGGGACCTCCATTAGAACTGGAAGACCCCTATTGGTACTGTGGGACCCCCACTGGCACTGGAAGACCCCTATTGGCACTGTGGGACCCCCAGGGGCACTGCAGGGCTCACAGCCATGCTCTAAGTGAAGGTCTGAGTGCTGGGGGGGCCTGGGAAGTTGCTGCAGATGGGAAGTAATATGGTAGTGTATGAAATGCATTGATTTGTCCAAAGTGCATGCACCTCATTCATGAAATAAATATATAAACTGTATCTAACAAGACAAATATAATGAAGGCATCATAAAAAAAAAAAAAAAAGAGAAAGAAAGAAAAGAAAAAGGAGGCAGCTCTGGTATAAATTCTTGCTGGTAGAGCTGTGTGTCTGAAAGGTGGATTATAGAACTGCAGTTTGGAAGATTGAATGGCCCATAAACATTTTCATATTTCATTAGCCGATTAATGGACAGCTTTTTTCTTCTTTTTTTTTCCCCCTTTTTTTTTTGAGTTGGTGGGAGAACTTTGCTGATTCTAAGCAGAAATTGCAGGGAGCAAATGAAGACAGCTGATGAAACCTTGCGGGTCCCTGTCCTGTTATGGATTGTCCCAATTAACGCCCGTGCTGCTCTCTGTCAAGATGCATTCTGCCTGTCCAGTTACTGTTAATAGATTTCTCATAAGTGGCTAGATTGTAAAAACCTCATAACTCAGCTTAATGCCACCAATAAAATTATCTCTGGACGTCTGGCCTGGATTCCAGTCAGCTCCCGGTCCAGGAGGAGCTTCTGTTTACCCTTTCTTTTCCTAATTTCAAACGTTGTCTTAATTAGAAAATGAAACGGAGACTGGCTACAAAAAGCACCTTCCCCAGGGTCTGTTTTTCATTCAGCACAGCCCGTCTCGCCTCATTTCACTGCAGGCTTTGCTCAGGAGTGATGTCTGGCAGCATCAGCTCAGCCATGGGCTCCCCAACCCCAACCTGAGCTGCATTCCTACCCCGTTTGCTGCACAGCCTGGGAGAAATGGCCCCGCATTGGATCTGGAGTCCTTGCCACGGGATAACCTCTTTTTAGGGGGCTGTTGGTGAGCTGTCCTTCCCATACATCTCCCAGCCTCGCTGTGATGAGGTCTGCAGCTTGGTTTGTGGTGTGGGTGGGTAATGGCAGCGTTTGGGTCCTGCCAAGCTCAGAGTGGCAAAGGCAGGACTGATGGTGCTGTGTGTTGTGCCCTTATATGTGCAGCATCCCCTGCCTGCTCCTACCCTCTGCTCTTTCCCTGGCAGATCCATTCGGACTCTGATGAGGGGGACGGCTCCATCAAGTACACCATCTCCGGGGAGGGCGCGGGGACCATCTTCCTCATTGATGAGATCACAGGTGACATCCACGCCACCGAACGCCTGGACCGGGAGCAGAAAACCTTCTACACACTGCGGGCTCAGGCCCGTGACAGGCAGACTGACCAGCTGCTGGAACCCGAGTCTGAGTTCATCATCAAGGTGCAGGACATCAACGACAGCGAGCCGCGCTTCCTGGAGGGGCCCTACATCGGCAGCGTGGCTGAGCTGTCCCCCATTGGTAGGTGTCCTGGTGGCTGAGAAGCTTCCATCTCTGCCACTAAACCTTGAGCCAGCCGTACCCCACAAACCAGGCTGTAAATCATAGGGATTCCCACTGAGAGCAGAGCTGAGGAGCCGAGAGGGACAAATAAATAAGGTAGCTTAAGGAAAAACAAGTGAATAAATCCCCTGAGCTGATTGCCAGCCTGTGGCTGTGCGCTCAGCCCCAGCCCTAAGCTGTGCCCTGGGGATGGGTCAGGGAGGTGCCAGATGCCCGCTGTGCCTCAGCCCTGGCTTTGTTCAGCCCTCAGCTCCCAGGTGCTGTGGGCAGGGGTAGGAATGAGCCCTTATATACCAAGGAGCCCATGACTACCTGTGCTCTGGATTAGCCCAAGCGCCGTCTGTCCCCCTGTGTCTCAGTGCCTGCTCTTGTTGTCCCCTGCTGCCCTCAGAGCCCTGTGACTGCCTCTCCATCCCATCCAGCATCCCTGGGCAGTGCTGCTGCACCCCCTCACCCACTTTCTGGCTTCCTTCCAAGAGGCCCAGTATTGCTGAGGTCAGGAAATTCATGCCTGATGTAATAGAAGCAGTTTCCTCCGCGCTACCACTAGTCTGCTCCCCCCCCAGCCCACCACTGCCCGTCAGCCTGGTGCTGTGCTGAGCTGCAGGTGGGATGTGTGCCATAAGCATCCATTACCAGGGATGGCAGCGGGGCACTGAGCTGCACTCCCCTGAGTGCTGGGAGGGACACGGGGAGAGGATGCAGAGCTGCTTGAGCTGGGGGTGGCTGCAGATGTGCAGGAGCTGCTGCCTGGGCTCCTGTTGGCGGATGGGAGCAGACTCTCCCGAAGCACCCCGGGCTCTCCATCCTCTTCCATTTACCTGCACTAAATCTTTTCTGAGTCAGATGGTGACCTCTTGAACTGCAGCCACGTGCTCCTGGCGCAATGAAAGGCAGCATGTGGGCAGCAGAGCAGGAGGCATCCCATTCCCAAAGGGAAGAAATAAATTAATCTATTTTGCTTGAACTACTTTTAAAAAGCAAAGAATCTTCAACTCTGAGTATTAGACAAGGATCCCAATTCTTTAAAAAACGCTAACAATTATGGAGCTGCCTGATCACAGACTGATGTGAACAAGACATATCAAAGGAGACAGTTTCTATGCGAAATTGGAGATCAGAGCGAGAAAGAATCACGGTTTCACAACATGAAAGGAGGCGATTCCTGCAAATTAAAATACTCAGAAGTTAAAAGTAAAGAGAAGTGCTGTGAACGGCGTGGGATGTGCTTCCAAGCTGTATGCTCAGAGCGGGGGGAGCTGGAGCTGAGAGTTTACTGGGCTGAAATCTGTCTGCCTGTGGCAGCCTCCGAGCCCTCTGCAGCCTGGCCAGCCTGGGAGGTGGAAGGGCTCCTCCACAGAGCCCAGCTAACGAGCAGGGATTGCTTCACACAGCACTTTCACATGGTGTTGCTGCAAGCCCCTCCACTGGACATGGAGCTGCGGAGAACTCGCCTTGCTGCCATTTTGGGTGTGGATGAAGGCAACCCCCTGTAGTGGCAAAGCAGGGTCTGGAAGGCTGGGCAGCTGGAATTGGTTGTGACATCAAGGTCAAAGGCTGGGGACCTGCTGGCAGTGCTGTCCATTGCTCAGTTCTCCTGGATGACCAATGTCCCTGATTCAGCTGTGCTCTTCTGGGATGGGTCAGCCTCAGGGCTGCTCTCCATCTCAGGTGTGGTTTGCAGGGAGCTGCTCTTTGTTCCCCATCTCTGCCACTCTGCAACCCGAACTGAGAAGTGAAGGGTGACCCCTTCTTGCTCTCCCGGACCTCTGTGGGGCTCACGCTGAAGGCTGACCATGTGGGTGGCTTTGCTCTCTCCGGTGGCAGCAATCAGCTGCAGATCCCTGCCAGAAGCACAGTTCCAGCTCCCGGAGGTGGGTCCCTTCCTGGAGCATAAAAAGAAGTAAAACAAATACGGTCAGATCCGCTCTGTGACAGCAGGAACAGATCAAAGGACATTATTTGCATAATGAAGGAGTACTAATTGGGAGGGAAAGTCATTTGACTTCCCGGTGCCTAAGAGGGAATAACGAATAATGAGGGAATTGCACAATCTCCCGCACGGTGGCTGGCAGCGCTCACATTGGCCCCGCGCTCTGTTCCTGCACAGAGCTCAGCCCTGAGGCTGCAGCCCTTGCTGGGTGCTCACCCCAGTGCCCATCACCCCCAAAGGGCTGAGCTGAGCCCAGTCAGTCTTAAAGGAGGAGACCCAGAGCTGCAGAGAAGGTGGGACGGACCCCACCGACTGCTGGGGAACGGCAGGAGTTTCACCTTGTAACGGGAGATGCTAAAATTAGCTGTGTTCTCCCTGAGCTCCCTGGGGTCTGCTTAACAGCTGTCTGCCGCACACAGGCATGAGCCCAAATCCACACTGCCTCCTGCAAAACATCTCTGCTGCACAGAGCAGGTTGCATAGCCCAGAGCTGGCTTTTGGGCTGGGGAGCACGCAGAGCGACTGGTAGCTGGCATGGTGGTAAATGTGGATCCTTCTGTCAGAACAGTTCTTCTCCCTCGGTGCATTTTGCTTTCATTTCTGTGTAGCACCAAGATTAGAGATGATTTGGCTGTGCAGACAGGAACTCGGGGTCAAACCCTGGCTCCATCGCAAAGCTGGCTGAATGCAAAACTGATTACTGTGAAGAGAAATTGTTTAATCTCCACACTAGAAGCAGAGGAAAAGACTTTGTTTAACGTGCAGCCAGAACACTCGCAGGCAGTCTGATGGGCTCTTCTTAATAGAAAATGCTCAAAACGCTCATGTGCATCTGGCAGCGGCTGGGGCAGCAAGTGGGCATGTGTTGAGATTGCACAGCCCTGAAAGCTGTGAGTGGTATTGTTGGTACAGTTGGGGTTTCCCCTTCTGTAGACTCCAGGTCGCTCAGATGGAACTGCTGCCCTCTGGCATCCATCCAGGGTACACGGCTCTGCAGGATGAGGTGCTTACCTTGGGGTCAGAAAACTGATGTCGTATGTGCTGTGTCTGGAGAGCAGGGCTGGGAGCAGCATCCATGGGTTTGGTCCTTCAGCAGGAGGCTGCTGCTGGACGTGGACTCTCATAGGTCTTCTCCTTTCTGTAGGTGGGATTAGCAGCTTCTTCCTCATTTCTGTCGCCTTTGAGGACCTCAGTTCTTTTGTTCCTGAGGCCGTTCTCATGTCCTGGCTCCTGCTTCAGTCAAATTGAACATGATGTCAAATTAAAGCCATCTCAGGGACAGCTGGAGTGAAGCACCCAGTTTAGTGAGGCAGCGTTGGAAATCGATAACTTAATTGCAGACATTTGATGGACTTTTATCCAATTTATGGTCCTTCTGCCCTGCTACGTGTGGAGCATGACGACACAGTGCAGTGCCTGGCTCTGGACAGGCAATAGCTCTTCCTCCCCTGCAGCTGCCCTAAAATGTGAGATGACTGCTGGGAGCAAAGCTACCTGCTGATCTGGAGAGCGTGTCCTGCTCTGAGGTGACCCACAGTGCCATCCTCCTGTCGCTCCGTGTGACAAAAGGGGCTGTATTTCTGGACGTCCTCTGGACACGCTCTAAGAGATCCACATCTCTCCTGTTTTTCTTCTCATCCCTGCTGCAGGCACCTCTGTGATGCAGGTGATGGCTTCCGATGCCGACGACCCCACATATGGGAGCAGCGCCCGCATCGTCTACAGCGTGCTGGAGGGTGAGCAGCACTTCACCGTGGACAGCAAAACGGGTGAGCAGCACCCAGGGAGCTGTAGGGGACCTCATCCTGGGGGTGCAGTGCGTATCTGCACTGTGAGCAGCAGGCTGAGCGCTGGGATGGGCAGCGGTGCTGGGGGGGAAACTGCAGCTGTCAGACCTGCACACCCCCCCGACTGCACCAACTGCAGAGCGAGTGGGCACGTAAAATCTGGGAAAGGTTTAAGTACTACCAGAGGGGCTTTACCAAAGGCTACGTTGTTATCGCCAGGGCTTTGATTAAAGGTAACACTTCAAATTAAGGAGCGGTTTATAAATGCTCTATTAATATTTAATGAAAGAACAGTGGAAGCTGCTCCGTTCCTTAATATCATATAATAGAGCCCGCTGTAAAATGCATCTCTAATAAATCCCTAGCAGATGATGCTCTGACATACTGGTTAGAGTAGACCATAACCAGGAGATGTTGGGGTATATATTCTCCTTGCCTCCCAGGAGTGTGACTCTCATTACCCTTAATGGGAACCTTGCAAGCATTCTAAGGAGGGAAGACACTCAAATGCTAATAAGAGATATTTAAGGTACAAAGCATGCAGTAAAGAACCTTCAGTTTAATGAAAAATTGTCAAAAGATGAGAGCACCGAGCAGCTGCAGTTCTAGTTGGAAAGCTGGGCTGCAAAGTGTCCCCACCCTATTGCTGAACCAAAGGGAACCTTGGTGAGATCCGCCCCTGGCTGCCTTCTCTCCCACATTTGCTTGGTTTTCCTTTTATTTGCGAGGAGACAACGAGCTAAATACTGAAAACTCAAGTGTGTGTGGGATCCTGCTAGTCTGAGACAGCTTTGTGTGAGTGGAGGCTGAGAAAGGGGCTGCTGGAATGGAGAGGGACCACTGGGAGCAAAATGCACAAGCCGGGACGTGCAGAGGCTCAGCTCCCTGCAACAACATTAATGCTGCCGTATTAAGGCATAAAGTAAAATGCGCCCTGTGGGACTGTGGTGAGAATTAATGTCACTCCAGGAGACCAAGCTTCTGGATTCCTTGACTTTTTGTGTCTTAATTCTCAAGCTGGCTGTTCATACACTGGCTGTTTCATACACCGCCGGGGTTGATTTACGGTTCTGCTTGCGATTCATAAGAGCAAAACTGCTGACAGTCTGCAGCAGCCATCCTCAGCTCCACGGCAGTGCAGCTTTGTGCCCCTCTGCCAGCAGTGCCGTGTGTGTGGCTGTGCTGCTGGAGGAGGCAGGGACAGGGCTGGCCGTGCTGAGCAGGTTGTGATCTCTGTGTCTGCCTTTGGCACCAGCCAGGAGCTGGAGCATCGCCCTGGTGAACCCCATCCTGCTCCCCCTCCAAACTTGGAAAGGTTTTATTGCTCCAATGGGAGTCCTGCCCTGCCCGCTATGGGTGGCCAGGCTTCTTCCCTGAGCATAAGATTTAATTATCCGTAGCAGAAGCATCACTCTTCAAAGCCACCATTGTTATTAATGGCCATAAAAAGAGCCATAAAAACCTGGAATGTTACATTTCTCATAATATACGATAATGAAGAGCAATTTGTTTTCCCTGTTTGGTTTCGACCTCCTTCTCCACCTTTCCTTGCAGGTCCACACACTCCTATGCTCCCTTGTGCCCTGCCTAAGCCTATGATGCTGGCACTGCAGCCTGGACAGCTATGGGTGATCCAGGGGACAGGGAGCAACCAGCCCACAGCTGGGGGTTGGAGCTGGGTGGTCTTTATAGTCCCCTCCAACTTAAGCCATTCTATGACTCCTTCCAGCTCCAGTTCTCCTTTTCTTCTTCGTCTTTGTATTGTGCTTCATACTGAGGGTGTTGTGTGTATGGGTGTGATTTGCACACTTGGATACGGGATGCACACTGTGTGTATGTTGCTCGGTTTGTCTCTCATTGCTGGCTGTTAGCAGCGTTAGCATTCAGCAGGTGTGTTGGATTTGACAGAGCTTTCAAAGGCAGGACCTAACCTGCCAGCATGCCATGCTATGCTCAGTCCTACAGCTCAGTAAGGCCTGAAATCCCGTGTCTTGTCTTGGAAGGCTTTTTGGAGGGAGATGAGCAGGACCCTGCAGGCGTTTGTCATATTTAGGCTTTGTGCTGCCTTCCCTATTCACTCTCAGCGTGCCAATAGGGTGCAGCTGATCTTCACGTGCTCTTTGTCACTGCACTGCTCTGTGGCAGCGGGGTTCCTCTTGGAGGAGGCTGCAGTCAGTGCACACAGGCTGCTTTGCTGCTGCTGTTGGGACGTGGTCACTTCTGCTGTCACACTGGGGGTGCTGGCTCTCAGCATGCTGCAGTCTTTGCAGGGATATTGGCTGCTGTAGAATGATGCTCTGGGTGGCATCCCCAGCCTCGTGTTTGTTGCTTCCCTAAAAGCTCAGCTTAGGAGAGTGTATGTGCATCTTGTTCTTTACTGGAAGTAAGAAGCCGTTCTTAAAATCTGTCATTCTGCTGCATGCAGAGAAAAAAACAGAAGGACTCTGAAGGCTAATTGGAATGCAGTCTGGCATTTCTTATTACTTAAAACAACTCCTGAGTTAGAGCCTGTCTCCTGATTTGGAGGCTCAGCCAGCGAGGGCTCAGAGGTCCTCGAGCCAGGGAGAGCAGGACGAGAAATACTGTCCTGCTGGGAGGAAGTTTGTTTTATTGCATGTAGTCATGAGTTGTTTCATCCTTAGCTGCCAGCACTGAGCTTGGAGACCTCTAGAGACCACAGGCTCAGTCCTGGGGTAGTGCTGATGGGGTGGGAGCTGAACTGCTGGGAGCATGGAGAGCTGTTCTGATGAGCTGTCACTGTGATGCAGTGGTGGGAGGCAGAATGTGTTTCTCTGCTGCTTTTGCCATTTTGTTAACAATGCTTCTTGGTGCCTGGGAACACAGATACCAGGATGCGCCTGTCTCTGTGCTCTCATGGGTTTTAGCAGGTTCATGCCAGAAGATTATACACCACAGCTCTGCACGGGGACAAAGAACAGGTTTTCATGATAGAAGTGGTGAGGCAGTGGCACAGAGAGGAGGTGGGTGCCCATCCCTGCAGGCACTCAGGTCAGGCTGGGGGGCTGTGAGCACTGTGGGTGTCCCTGCTCACTGCTGGGGGTTGGGCCTGATGGCCTTTAAGGGTCTCTTTCAACTTAAACCTTTCTATGACTCTGGTGGTGTGTCTGCACAAGAGCCAGCTGTGGGCTTAGTTGAGGCAATTTCTACCATTAGTGAGACTGAATGTTGGCAGTCCCTGTCTGAGAATGGTGCTTCAAGGAACTTCCATTGGTTTGGGACAAATGGTCTGTTTGGTCTCAGGGAAACCAGGGTGTCTTTAGTAACGTGCAGTGGGGATGAATGTTAAATGACCAGGGGGATTTAGCTGCTAAAGGAAGAGTGCTGAGCCCATCTGTCAGAGCTCTCTGTGGGGTCTCACTAATGTGAGCAAACTGAGCTAGTGGAAGGTGTCCCTACCCATGGCAGGGGGTTGGCAGATCCCCCCTGACCCAATCAGTTCTGTGATCCTATGAAGTTGTAAGTGTTCTCCTTGTCCAGGAATGTGGACATCTGAGCTAAAAGCGTTTGGAAGCAGAGAAAAGCCCATAACGGTGGGATTCCTGGAAGACACTTAACCTGCTGAGTGCTTTGTCCTGCTTTGTTTCTATCACCCAAATAGTGTCTGCTATTGAGCAGATTTGGTGCAATTTATGTGATGCTGCAAGTGTCCCCTTGCTTGGTAATTACACTGATTAATCTGGATCATGCTGGAAAGCCACATGTGCCTTGTACCAGAGGCTGTGCCACCATGTGTCTGTATTATTCAACTATAACAGATGCTGACAAGAACTGGGGAGATGAAGCAAGCTGGAGGTTGTTCTTGCTGTGTTGGCAGAGTTTGGGAAGGAGAATGTTTGGCAGTTTCTCTGGCTGGAAAGAAGGTGAATCTGTGGATCTTAGGAGATGACAATGAGGCTTTTCCATGTTCTGTCTGCAGCAGCAGAGGTCCGTCTCTCTTCTGTCCGTGCACTCAGAGGAAGGCTCTGCTGCCATCTCTTAGTGCTGCTCTGTGCATGGCAGGCAGCCCGGGCTCGTCCCCCACTGGAACGAGCGACCTTGGTGGTGTTCTGGGAAGCCTGAGCACTTCCCTCCCGTCTTACACGGGGTACTGTGGGCTGTGTCATTACAAGCAGCTCAGTTAAGTCATTACCGCCTTGGTGAATACATGAGCTTTTTCTCTCATCCCAATTCATCACCTTTGCGCTGACATGAATCATTTTCATTATAAAATGCTTCAGACCCCGTTAATTAACAGAATTGCTTAAATTTCAGTGAGATAGCGCTTGCCCAGAAATAATGGCTTTATATTCATGGCAGAGACATGGGAGGCCCATAAGCATGACCAGCTGTGGCCAGCCCTGTGCAGAAGGGCTGGGATGTGCCCTGCCAGGAGCTGTGCTCCGTGCTTCTGACCCGTGTGCTGGTGTGGAGCATCAGCCTTGGTGAGCAAGTGACAGGAGGGCTGAGGCTTACTCCTGTGTGGCAGTAGGCAGAAGCTGAAGTGCCCAAGGAATAGGGGACAAGGCAGAGCCCCCTCTTTTTCGTGGTGACAGTTCAGGTAATGACAGAACTGAAATGACAGAGGGACTGGAGAGAATTGGGTGAGATTGTGTCTGTCCGTGAGAGCCAGGGAGCTGCAAGCATTTGAAATGGCAGTGATGCCTTTATAATAAATCCTAACAACGATAATTGTTGGAATAATTGCTAGTTTGAGAAAGCAAGGAGAGAGAAACATCTACAGAGCAGCGTTGCCAGCTACTGCTGCACCCATCATGTCATGCAGAGGAGGAAAAAAGATCCTTTCTTCCTTTCAGCTCAGTGACATTTGACTGCCATTGTGCCACACCACCAGCAGCTCCTTTCTGTGTCCTGTCCACTGCTGTCAGGTCGGGCTCCATAGCTGCAGGATGCACAGGGCATGGCTGGGCGTCTGCCATTCGGGCTTCGGTAAACCCGAGCAAAGGAGGATGTGCAGGGCTCGCAGTAATGGGAGGTAAAGCCAATAGTTAATCAGAAAAGCCTGGAAGAGAGCAATTATAAAAACAGAAAGCAGTGGCTAAATCTGTGGAATGTTACGAAACTGAGCTGGAGGGGATTTTAAGCTGCTCTGGGCTGCTGCTGGGATAGTGGGGCTGGGAATGCACCACTAATGACCTTGTACTCATGTACACATGCATGTGTGCCCCTGGTGCCACCCCAGGGCAGAGTGGGTTCTTTCTTTCTTTCATTCTCAAAATGTTTCTCTGTGCTTTGTTTCCATGTAAATGAAACATCTTGGCTGATGTAGAAAGTCATAACTTCTGCTTTCATGTTTTTTGGGCTTCGCTACTCTTTCCTTCTTGTTTTACATTGCTGTATGTTTTAGTCCTGATCATTTCTCCTTGCTCAGATGAATGAAAACCTGAAAAGACTTTCTGCACAATGAAATCTAGAAGGAAAAAAGAAGCACCAACATACCATGCATTTTGTTTGGCTTTGTCTCAAGTGCATTTTCAGCTCCCTGACACTGACAGCTTCCCTGGTCTCCTAACTTAGAGACACATTTTAAAGACACGTTTGAAAATGAGGGGGTCTGTGCACCAATGGGAACACCCACGGGGGTGGCAGAGGTCGGGTGAGTGAGCAGCTCTGCCCCACATCCCTCCTGCACTGCTCTGCAGCAGCCGCTCCTCCCATGGCTGCAAGCTGTGCACATCCTCCTGTGGCTCCTGTCTGAGCAGATAAGGATAAGTGGACTGCTGCAGATTGGTGCCAAAGGGGCTTTGTGACTCAGCAGGGGCTTTTACACAGCATTCCTCCACATAGCGTGCAGCTGGCCCCCAGCAATCCTTCACCCTGGCCTCCCCGGAGGAAAACACAGATCTCCAAATTTGGGGCTATGAGGGTTAGTTAAGTGTTAGAATGCCTGCTGTATGAGCAGAGGCTGGGAGATCTAGCTGGTCCCATTTGGGGCTCCAGCTTGCTCCAGGTACCCCCCAGCAACCTCTCCCAGCTTCACCTGTTCTGTGACTCTGCAGATGCTCTGCCACGTGCCTGCACTCACTCCCCTGCCCATTTCCAGGTGTGATCCGGACAGCCGTGGCTGACCTGGACCGTGAGACACAGGACCGGTACGAGGTGGTGATCCGTGCCACGGACATGGCGGGACAGCTGGGCGGGCTGTCCGGCTCCACCACCGTCACCATCGTGGTCACTGATGTCAATGACAACCCACCACGCTTCCCACAGAGTAAGTCCTGCTCGTGTTGTTGGGCTCCTGGCACAGCCTGGTGTGTGGCTGCCGGATGAGCCGGCCCTGCTGCTCGGGATGTTTGCGGGGCAGCAGCACAGCACGGCACGAGGCACAGCGGTGTGCCTGGGTCTGAGCGTGTCCTTGCCCACCAGCCCCATGGGGAGCTCCCTCAGCTGAGGGTGCTGCAGCTGGAGGTGGCTCAGCTCTGTAGCTGCCTCTCCTAGAAATTTGAATTGGTGAAGTTTGCCAAGAATTGGACAACACTGCTGTGCTGTGTCTGTGTAGAAAAACCATCCCTTTCTCTACCTGGCTCTTTAAAGCATTAGTTCTCCCCAGTTCCCTTCTTGCAGCCCCTGTTTTTGGCTGGGGTTTGTTTTTCTCAGGACATTCTGAACTACAGACATTGGCAGAGTTTGGACAGTACTTGTGGCCCAAGAGTTATCCCAAGGAGCTACACAAGGTGTGCATCAGGGGAGGGTGCAAGCAGAGCCGTGACCCTGGTGCCTTTCTCTCCTCCAGAGATGTATCAGTTCAGCATCGTTGAAACTGCCCCTGTGGGCACTGCCATCGGGAGAGTGAAGGCAGAGGACTCTGACGTCGGAGAGAACACTGACATGACCTATCAGATGAAGGACGAGGAAGGGGTGGAGATGTTCAAAGTCACCACAGACAGCAATACCCAGGAGGCTGTCATCACCGTTCAGAAGGTGAGGAGAAAAGCTGGCTGCGGGGAGGGCAGGCATCTCCAGGAGAGCCCTTTCCTTTCGGGGCTTCTACTGCATCTGAGTTGAAATAAACAAACGCTCCTCTGAGCGCAGCTCTAGCAGTAGCATTTCTGTGCTGGCAGATGCAGGAAGAGACCTGTTCTGCCTGGATAGCACAGCACAGATCTGTTTCTGGGAGGAAAAACTGAAAAGGAGCAGCAGTGCAGTGCCTTCTGCTGCCTGCACGGCTCCTGGGAGTGAGCAGTGTACAGATGGAGTGGTGCACAAAGTGATGGAGAGCAGTGCTTACAGCTCTTACTGATAGCACCTGTTAGGAGCAGAAACATGCCCACTTAATTCCCACACCTGATCAGCAGCACCAGGTGTGGCTAATTGGGGGGTCCTGGGGCTGTGTGTGGCTAATGGGGGTACTTGGGCAAGTTGTGGCTAATTCTCTCCTGTTGTCTCAGCCTCTGGACTACGAGTCAAAAAAAGTGCACACCGTGGTGGTGGAGGCCCTGAACAAGTTTGTGGACCCACGGTTTGTGGACCTGGGAACCTTTCGGGACCAGACCATCGTGCGGGTGTCTGTGCTGGACGTCGATGAGCCCCCTGAGTTCTGGCCCCCCTCCAACACAATGGAGGTCCAGGAGGATGCTCACGTCGGCTCTATCGTGGGGGTGGTCACCGCCCTCGATCCGGACACAGCGAACCACCCTGTGCGGTAAAGCACTGCTACAACTCTGTGTCCCCTTCCTTCCCTTTTGGCAGTGTGTGCGGGGTCACGGTGTGGGGTTCTCATGGCCACACGTGTGGCAGAGGGGAGGTGGAGAGGTGGTGCAGGCTTCATGTGCGTGCTGCAGAGCAGGCAGCGAGCAGCAGTCTGTGCGCGGGTACTGGCAAGCTAGAGCCACCATCTCACAGGTGACAGACGTATCGTGGGCAAGTGACAGGCTTGTGAGTGGCAGGGGAGTGCCGGGGAAGGTGGCTGGGTGACGCCTGCGTGTCCTTGTGCTGACAGCCAGGCAGCCGCAGTGGAGCCTGACATGGGCCAGGCGAGCGAGCAGGAGTGACAAGCGGGCAGTGATGGGGAATGATAAATGAGGTGAGGCTTGGGAAGTGCGGAGCCAGAGCTCAGCTGTGTGTGCGCGTGCGTGCGTGCACGGGGATCAAAGATCAGAGGAGTTATATTTGGGCAGGGGACATAATCCAGGCAGCGGCTTATCTGCACAGGACATTTCCCATTTCCATTTAATTTGTGGCTAAAGAGATTGTTACCTTGTTAAATTGTTATTACCTAAGGCACAAAGCAGCCTTCTGGCTCTGCCAACTGGCCTGAGTCATGAGCAGTCGGGATGAAAAGCTGGTGTTCTGAAAACATCCTCAGCGTGTGGAGAATTTCCTTGAAATGTGTGTTCTTGTGCCAGGTGACAGCGGGGCTGCAGGCACCTTCCACACAGCCTCACTTCAAGTGAGCAGCATTGGCTCTGCATTGAGGGTTCTCTACAGAGCCCATCCCTGCCTGCAGTAAACTGGGGCAGAGCCTTGGGATGGCGGGTAGAGACCTCAGTGTGTGCATACAGAAGTATCTGTGCTTTGCACTGGCACGTTTCTAGCAGTGCTACGGAACGGAGATTTTATTTTGTGGTCTGCAGCTGTGGGGAAGGCGTCTTGGGGACAGAACTCTCCTCCTTATTTACTCTTGTTCTCCATGCCCTTCCCCATGGAGCTTGTTGCAATATTTGCAGACAGAACAAAAGGAAGCAGAGGAGAGGCTTCCTACTGCTGTGCAGAAGATGCTGAGGACTTGGAGCAGAGAGAAGCAGATCCAACTGATCAGCAGGAGGATTAGAGCCCAAACGTTACCATACAGTGAGCTCAGTGCCAGGTGTGGCAATGCCGTGTGCTCAGGGACAGGGCACAGCCAGCAGGACTCCAGGCAGGGAATTGCAGTGTGGCTTAATAAAAAGCTTTGCTACGCCTGCAGCTTCAAAGCAGCACCCAAAGATGAAGGCGAGCATCCTGCCAGGGCGTGCCACCAGCCCGTCAGTGAGAGACAGCAGCACATCACCTCACATCCCAAGTGTGCAGCTCAAAGCGCAGTCACGAGGAGCCAGCACTTGTACTTCACCTCTGGTACATGAGAGAGCAGCCGGTCCTGACAGCGTGACCAGCATTTGATCCTCAGCCCCTTGAAGTCAGTGCGAAGCCTTTCAAGTTGGTGCAGTTCAGTGGATCCCTTTAACTTCCTGATCCTTGTCCGCTGGAGGTGGGAGCTGGAACGCGGCTCCTGGGCTCTGCTCCATCAGCTCTGCTGTGTACAGAGGAGAAGGCCAACACCTTCTGCTGTGCTGAGATGCGCTGTCCCCTCGAGGCAGGAGAGAAGAAGGACCGCCGCAGACAGCCCAGCAAAAATCAGCACCGTCAGCTCTCCAACCCTGCTGACACCGGGCTGCTGGTAACGAGGTTTGGGAAGTATTTTAAGCCAAGTGGGACAGGAGGTGCCCTTGTCTCTCTGCATCCATCCCCAGGTGACACAGAAGGCTGTGCTGCATCCCAGCTGCACGAGGATGCGGTGCCCGCTGCAGCTCTCTCTGGGTGCCCACAGAGCACCAACCTTTCTGGGGGAGCAGCCCCCAATTGCAGCTGCACAGAAGGGCCACAGTGCTGCCGGGTGGATCTGGAGCTCAGCATGGGCTGTGTGCCCTGTGGGGAGCACAGGAACTCAGCAGGGGCAGTGCTGTGTGAGAGAACGGTGCTTTTTTTTTTTATTCTATCCTTATTTGTTGCCTGACAAAAGCTAGAAGCACTCTTTTTCAGAAAGCATTCAGTTCCCATTTGCCTTTTTGGCATTAGCTGTGTATTTCCTGAGTGTAGCACTGTTTCTCACCCAAACCATTGTATTAGGTAATACAGCGATGTGCTGTGTGTGTGCGAGGCTGTTTGGATGGAAGCCTTTTGTTTTTCTCTCTGCAGTGAGCCTGTGCTCTGATTGCGTGCATCCCAGGCTTTATCAGCACTGGGAAAACGTTGCTTGGGATTTAAGGTTCTCAGAGATATTCTCGTCTGGCATTCAGCAAATCCAGAGGCACGTGTTGGACATGGGCATTTCGCAGACTCCAGCAGCACAGCGAGAACTGCAACCCGTTTCAATACAAAAGGGAGAGGAGGAAAAAACAAACATAACAAAAAGCTTTTCACCCAGTGGTTGAAAAGCTCGCTATTAACAAAACACATGGCATAAAATGTGCTCCTCGTTGCGTTCAGGGGGAGAAGTGAAACAAACTGCTCGAGAAATGCATTCACGAGAAAGATGAGCACCGAGAAAGCTGTCTAAATTAAACAGTCGCTTGTAACATCCAGACCAACAGGCAGTGCCAGCAGGAGGAGAAGAAAATGGTTTACAAGGTCTGCATCCCAATCAGAGCTGGGCACTGCAGTTCCAGATATGGAGCAGCAGCAGCTGAGCAGGAATGCAGTGACATCCTCCCTCCGAGCACAGGGAGGACATGGGAATGGTGGTGTCCCTCCCTGGGCAGAACATCAGTGGGACATTGAAGGGGAAGTGGGACTGCTGGAGGGGAGAGGCTTGTGGAGGGCAGCACAGACTTTGGTTGATAAAGGTCCCAGTACACAACATGACATCAACTGAGCAGAACTGGATTCCTTCCCACTGGAAGCCCTGGTCTCCATGGGGTTGGCTGTAAGTCCTTGGGAAGGGGAAGGTCTATGGCCACGTGGAGCAGATGGAGGGCTGCAGGTCCACTTGGACTGGCCACATTCAAATCTCAGCCCCACATCAGTGATAAACACAGGCAGCACCCAGAGCTCTGTCTCCTGACAGCATTGCACTGAGAAGGTGTGCAGCAGCAATGACAAAGGGAGCAGATTTCTGCTCTGGTTTGTGTCCTGCTGTAGGGTGTGGGCAGTCAGTCCTTCCCTGCCAGCTCTGAAATGACAGAAGACAAGCTCAGCAGTGAAGCAATTAGAAGCACAAGAAGTGGTTACCGGTGACACCACGGTGCTCCCTGCTCCCTCTGGCCATGCAGGCAGCTGCTGCCAGATGTGATCACAGAACAGGACGTGTTAGGGATCAGCAGCTGCGGGAGAACAATCGCAGCAATTACACAAACGCTATTGGAATTATGCTATTGGAAGGACAGCAGATTTTGCCATCCCAGTTTCTGTTCCTCCTTCTAGCACAATGTTGGATCTGTGAGAGTTGCCAGACCCCTTCTGTCCCTTCACAGTGGGTGAGTGTGGAGTGGATGAGAGGCTGCAGTATGTGCTGGTGTCACTGTCCCTTGGCTCCGTGTTTATAGATGCTCTGTTTCCAGCTTGGAGATGGGGCAGGAAATGCAGGAGGGCTGGGAAGTCCCTGGGGTGTGGTTTGGTGATGCCTGAGCTCTGTGTGACAGATCCTCGTCACCTCCAGGGGAAGACAGACATGCAGGTGTGGAACATGATCATTTGTGCACGTGCACCAGTGAGATTTAGATAGCAATTTTCCCTTAACTACAAGCAAATGCTGTTGTACGTTCTCACCCCCATCTGCCTGAGAAGGAGGGAGCTGAGGAATGCAATCTGGTGCTGTGTAACAGTGAGGGCTCATAGGCACTGAGCCATTAGTGTGCCTTTGGGTCCCTCCATCAGGTAGGGATGCTCAGCTGTGTGAATGTGTGACCTGGGAGGTGACCTCCCCCCAGCTGGCTCCCTCCTGCACCTGGGTATGGGAGGCACAGGGCTGCCCATGGCTCTGTGCAGCGTGGCCATGGCCATGCCTGGAGTGCCAGGCACAGGAGCTGCACACCACGAGCTGCACACTGTGAGCCACAGGCGCTTGGAGCAACCGCCACGCAGTGTGCCTGTGTCACCCCTGAGCATGCTGCCAGCCTGGGGTTGCCCTGAGCCCTGCCCTGTCTGTCAGCTCTCCAGCTTGCTTTGTCCCTACATTTATCTTCCTCCTGTTGTTGGACATGTGACCGAAGGCTTTAATTTATTCCCAGCCCTCCTCTCGGTAATTTATCCTTTGTGCTCTTTGCTGTCTTGTATTATTTAATTCTGTAAAGCGCTCTGGGATGCAGCGCATATGAAAGATGCTGTACACAATAGCATTATGCTGCATTGTTGTGATTTGTAGGCCTTCTGGATTTCTAATTCCGATGGTGGCGGTGGTTATTTGTGTTACGGCTGCACCTGATGGCCATAGTTGGGTTGGGCTTCCCTTCCAGCCCTGCCTCCAAACAAGGCTCCAAGGCTCTCTTTGGCACGTCCCGTTTTTCACATTTTCCCCTCTTGCCCGCACCTAGGTATGCCATCGACCGCAGCACGGACACAGAGAGGATCTTTGACATCGATGCCAACACAGGTGCCATTGTGACAGGAAAGGTCCTGGACCGGGAGACAGCGGGATGGCACAACATCACCGTCCTGGCAATGGAAGCAGGTGAGCAGAGGAGCGGCCGTCTGGGCTGGATCAGCATCTGATGGTCATTTCCTATAGCCATCTTCCCTGTGACTGTGCCACCACAGGGCCTGCACTCGCAGCAAGCACAGGATCTGCTCACACCCGGCTGGGAGAGGCAGGAGGGAGCTGAGCGGTTGTGAGGGTTTTGTTGGTTGATCTTCCCTCCCTCTGCGTGATGCTAAGGCGATGGAGCCCAGCTTGGATGTTTCCAGCAGAAGTTCTGTTTGTCTTTTCTATTCCGGTAAAGAAAGAAAAGAACAAACCTGGGTCCTGCTGCTCAAAGAAGCTTTGAATAAACTCCTCTTGAGGAATGAAAAGAAAATAATAGAAGCAAAGGGAAGGCTTTGATTCCCTGCAGGTGCTGTGCTGAGGGTAGGAAGATGGTGGGATTGCCCTGGGCATCCTGCTGCCCTGTAATGTTTGCACAGGGCTTTGGTGTAGGGTCTGTGTTGGGTCCCCAAGGACCTCAGGGAGCACTCAGATTCTCTATATCTTCCTTTTTCTGAGCCTTAAGATGGAGACTGACTTCCATCCAAGGCACTGTGCTGGGAAGCAGAAAGGCATTGCCAGGTTTTATGCTTTGGCTGTACAACACCTCCCAGTTCCTGCGGACGTTTGCCAAGACCTGCTCATGGGATGAAGCCTTTCCTGGGCTTTGCTCTGACACACCCCACAGGGTTCCCGGTTCCCTTTTCTTTGCTCATTCTGAATAGGAAGATGCCATTCAGATTCGATGCACCAGGGCTTTGGCTGAGGGCCCAGCAGTTCATTCTGGCTGCAGAATGGTCATCGCCGCAGTGGCAATGATCCACTCACTTAAGGCTGCCCCAGCGAGGGCAGTCAGTGATCCCACAGACCCCACTGCCCCGGGTTGGGACCTCTGTGGCTCTGTCACCCTACGGGATGCTCACGGGTGGGTGAGCTCTGCACTGCACTGCCCTGCTGCCGGGGGAGGAAGGCTGATGGTGTTCAGCATCCAGAGGAAACGTGAGGTGACAAGAATCAGAAGGAAAATATTTATACGCGGCATCTAAGATTTCAGAGCAAGTCAGTAAATGCTGCAGCTCCCCTCAGGCAGGAGCGCCTGTCAGGCTGCATCGCTTCAAAGCCAGGGAGACTCCAGCGCTTCGACTTCTCCCATCAGCGGGCTCTGACTCATCCATTTTAACTGCCCAGACATTCCTCCCCGTGACATTATCCTTAACGTTTTGTAATCATGAAATATTAATGACTGATATTGAATTTAAAGCACAATTTATGTCTGAATCCTCAGGCAGAAAGGGCAGTTGTAAAGGTAAGGCCTTCAGAGTGACGGGGGGGGGCTCAGGAGCGGGGCATCGCAGCACTGCCCTGGGGCAGCTGGGGGCCCTGTGCTGGCAGTGTGTGCCCCACAGCTTTGCAGCAGTGCTGCCTGGTGTGTGCCCAGCGGGGTGTGAATGCCCATCCTGAGGCTGGCATGGCACTGCCCTGGGCTGTGTAGCCATTCTCTGCAGCAGGTATCCGTCCACAACTGAGGTACAGTGTCAGCTTTGGTGTGAGATGTGAGCCTTATAGAGCCGGGTGCCCAGCTCTGGATCTGCTCGGGGTTGGTGGGAAGCTGTGCCCTGGTGAGCAGCATCCTGAATCTTGCCTTCCCATCCCTGGCAGCACTGCCCTGCAGGGGTTTAACAAGCAGCAGCTGCTGGGAATGTGCCAGCTGGCAGCATGTGCTCCTGTGGCCGGGCTGGCTGCTTAGATTTGCACAAGACCTAGCAGCAGGTGCTCCTGCTACAGAGACCACATCCAGGGGGGTATGCCCCACCTGTAGATAATTTGAGAGACTGTGTTTGCATCCGAGGAGCAGTAAGAGAAGCAGCAGAAGGCTCCTGGTGTGCCCGTGCAGGCTGCTGCTGAGCGCAGTATTTGGCCTTGCAGCAGTGCAGCCAGCGGGAAACATGGGAACCGTTCAGCAAATCTGGGCTGGGACCAGGCCAAGCACTCCCAGAGATAAATCTTCATCTCACTCACAAGCTGTTTACCTTCCTTGGGCTAATATTAGTGATTCTCTTCCTGTTTTCCTCTTTGCTCATGTAAAATGATGAGGCCTTGACTGCTGTGTCCACTGCTGGTAATTGAGATGATAAATCTTCCTGCTGGAGACTGGCTTTAATCAGAGCATTGTGTTTGGATGCGATTTAATGACTCTCATGCTGCTGAGTCTGGGCAGGGCTCAGGAGAGGTGAGAGCCATTTGTATGTTACTTGGCTGCTCTGTTGTTTCCACTTTGCTTCCCTGGAGCTGCGTTGTCAGCCCCAGCTGCTGGTGTTGGCTCTGTGTCTGAGGAGCTGTGCCCCAGCCAAGCCCCTGCAGTGTCCCTGCTATCTGTGCTCCATTCCACAGTCCACAGCTCTGCTGACAGCTGTAGAGCTGCCCTGTGCTTCACAGCTGGAAAGCAGCGGTCCGTCCCAGTCTGCATTTTATTCTCTCAATTTGCTGAGATAGTGAAGATTAAAATTCCACCCCTGGCACTTCTGGCTCCTCCACTGATGTAAAAATTCTGAATTCAGTATTGTACCAATTTGGTCTTGATGCAGAAGAGAGCAGTTTGTGTGCTGTGCCCAGTGCAGAGACCCCAAGGAGTGCTGCAGCCACAACTGCAGCCTGTGGCCCAGGGGGCTTTCCTGGAGCTGGGCTTTGGGCTCCAGGAATGCTGCAGAGCATTTCTGTCTGTGGTGTGGCCACACAGCAGGGCAATGCAAATGGTACAGCTGCTTCAGCACAGCTGGGTTTGGGGCTGCACAACAGAGGTTTGGTGGAAGTCCAAAGCACTTTATCATGAGTTTGCATGAGGGTCTGGAGAGGCACCAGCCGGATCCCAGCACAGTGTAACTGCCCTCTTTTCCTGCTGCAGAGGGGATGGTCAAGCATCTCCACAGCCTCTTCCCATCACTGGCATCTTCATCCACACAGCTCCCAGTGCTTATGGAGCAGTGGGGCATCCCCCTGGCAGCTGTCTGGGAACCTGCCCAGGCAGAGCCTGGATCTCTTGCACGATTGCTTTCCTGGCTAACTGAATTAAAGAAACCACTCGGGGCTGTAAGTTCAGCCAGGGCGTTGGTCTCAACCTCAGTGTTGCTGTGCAGTGGAGCCCTTGGATGACACCCAGCACAGGGAGTGCTCCCATGGCAGCACAGGGAGCCGAGCTGCTGGGGAGGTGCTGCAGCATGGAGCTGCATGGCACAGCTCGTGATGCAGCGTCTCCGACACCATAAGGCCCAGGTTGGCAGAGGCAGCTGCCAGCCATTCTCCCGCTGCATTCCCAGCATCTCCCCTGTGTTCTGCGTGTTTCCACGTCTCTTTCCTCAGTCTTTTCAGATTAATAGCATTCCAACTCCTGGAGGAAATGCAGGAACCCGACATGTTTAATTTTAATTTAGGGAACCGTTTAGGTAGCAGCCTGGTTTCCTCGCTGCTGTCAATCAGGTTTTCTCAAGGCTGACATCAATTAGTTTAAAAATATTGAATGTAATTTTGCCTGACACAACATATTGCAGCCACTGCAAAATATAATTTATTTTAGAAGAAGAAATAATTAAACTAATTTGCATGTCAGTCAGCTGAGCTGGGAGAGACACTGCCACGGAAAATGACTTTTTTCCTCCGCGGTCGCGCTCAGTCCCTCCGCGGCACACAGTGCCCTGTTGTGCTCTGCCTGGCGGTGGTGAATGGGAGCGTTCATGTGAGGGGTGGGAGTGTTTCTGTGCACGTGGAGGTGCTGCACAGCTGTGCTTTAGGGCTGCAGCAGTGATGCTGGCAGTACTGCAGTGTGCTGTGCGCCTTCCATCACCGCCCTGCGCTCCTCATCGCGCTTCTGACCGTCATAAATCCACTTAACGCTCCGCCAGCCGCAGGAAAGGTGTTTCAAAGATGGTTTGGAGATATTTTTATCAAATGCATCCAAATATTTTTCGTATGTTACGCCCGTAAATTCAGGTGCTGGCTGAAAGGAAGGGGAGGTTTATAAGGAAAGCGTCTGAGGAGCCTTCACATAGATCATGGTACCGCTGGAATAAAGAGGAGTGGGTTGCGCTGCTGAGCTTGGTGCTCCTGGAGATGGCTGCATCAAAGGGGTCTGGGAGCACTTGGCAGTGTTGGGATCTGCTCCTGCACTGGGGGAATGTGACTGGGGAGGGAAAGATGGGGCCCTGGGCTGCTTCTGCTGCGCTCCGCCTCCTCTCTTCTCTTTCTGTCTCCTCTCCTTCTCTCAGCAGGGCAGTACCAGATTCCTTGAACCTTAGCATTGAAGTAAGGGTCTCCATCTTCCTACAGTGAGCTGAGGATGGTGAAGCAGTGCTGTCACCCCTCTCCTTGCAGGAGCTGAACTGATTTCCCCCCAGCTCCTTTGCAACCCCAGTGTGTACAGAGCACTGCCCCCAGGTCCCCGCTCCCTCCCACCCCACTGCCTCCTGCTGTCTCTCCCCCTGGAAGTGATGGCAGTTTGTTTCATTGCACCAACATGCTTTTTAAAATAACACAGTGTTCCAGGCTTTTAGTCACGACTTCTGCCTCCCTCCCCCGAAAGCAGCCATCTAATCACCAGAGCAGCTGCTCTGGGTGAGAGGGAGTGATAATGCACGAGTGAGGTGAAGGCAGCTCCAGGAGGGGGCTCAGGTTCCTGGCTAATTATGGAGCAGTGTTAAATCTCCCCTCCCTTGGGTCCTCCTCTACTGATACATGGGGGACAGCATTAATTTTGTAGACAAACAGACAGCAGAGCTCCTGCCCATGAGAGGAGAGGCATTGGGTCTGTCTAAGCTGTAACCTTTGGATGGAACAAAGGAGATGGAGAATGAGGGATTCCTCATTCCTGGAAGCATGTGAAGAGCTTCAGGAAACATCAGGCCCTCCACAGTGATTTGCTGATAGAGAGGGGACCCTGAGGCACATGCTGTGATCAGAGCTGTGTGTGTGGCTCCAGGCTCTGTGTGTGTGTGCCCCAGAGCAGCTGTTGTACCCACAGCTCTGACCTGACCGTGGGGCCTTGCTCCCAGCTGGGCAGAATGGGTTAACAGCAGATCACTGGGAGTCCTGGGCACGCAGCCCAGCCATTGGGCTCATTTACTGGGAAACACGGGCAGTGAGGCCAAGCAGTGCTCTGCAGGAGCAGCCAACCCACGGAGGTCACCAGGCACGACCTCAGCGCTGGCAGCAGCTGCACGACCCACCACGGCCACAGGCAGATGGGATGAGGAGGGCTTGCTCCCTGCCAGCAGCAGATGGCACTTCCCACTGCAGCTTTGGTTCTCCTTTGTTTCAGATAATCATTCGCAGGTGTCGAGAGCCTCTCTGCGCATCCGCATCCTGGATGTGAATGACAACCCTCCTGAGCTCGCCACCCCCTACGAGGCTGCGGTGTGTGAGGATGCCAAGCCAGGCCAGGTAGTGAGCAGCCCCCCGCCCTTCTCCCAGGGCTCTGCCAGCTCTGTGCCACCAGCAGTGCATGCAGGGCAGGGGCTGGTTTGGTCCCTGTGATGCTCCACTGTTTCACACCCTCAAACATGACCCCACTGGGGCTGTGGGGTGGCTCTGGTGCTCACCTCTGCTCTCTCCCTACAGCTGATCCAGACAATCAGCGTTGTGGACCGTGATGAGCCTCAGGGTGGTCATCGTTTCTACTTCACGCTGGCACCCGAAGCCACCAACAACCACCACTTTTCTCTGCTGGATGTTAAGGGTAAGCCCTGCTGGCGGGTGTGAGGGGCTGGGGCTGTGCTGGGTGCAGCTCAGGAGCCCTTAGGTATCCCTACAGCTCCTGGTTCTCAGATGGGCCCATTGAGTGTTTGCATTTCCTTATAGTGGCTCCACCAGGTTCCTCCTTTGCTGCAGAGCGCTCTCTGCTCAGCCCACTGTGGTCTTTTTCAGGGCTTGTTGTCCCTTCTTTGATGTGAAATCTCCAACCTGCCTGCAGGCAAGGAGATGATGTGGGCTTACAGATGAACACGCACCCGTTTGCAGCATTACCATTTATCCCTCTGCAAAGCATGCCCCAGAGCGTTGGTCAGCCCCAGACTGCCATGCAGGTAGCTGGGCAGTGCCCTGCAAATGGGCAGTGACCAGGGAGCAGCCCCAGGGATGCTGGAGGGAGCAGCAGTCAGGCTGTGTTTGTGTGGATGGTGGCAGTCCTGGAAGGCAGTTATCAGGCTGCTCCCTGTCTTTAGTGGGTGTTTTTCGTGAGTTTAGGTGCTGATTTCAGGTAAGGACAGCAAGGGCCCTTGCAGCTAGTGGGGTCTTTTCCAGCCAGATGTATGTTTGCCACAGGGACCAGCCCAGGTGGGGGCCAGCAAACTGTGCTGCAAGGCTTTCTCCTTGTTTGGCATTATTAGGGTTGTTCAAACAGAGCTTGCAGCAGAACTTCCAGCATAACTGTGGAAGAACCAATATCACTCTGTGTCCTGGAAAGCGCAGCTGTCTCTGACCCACGACCCCCCCTGCACTCATGGGGCAGCTGGTCACCAGACTTTTGCTTCTTAGCATGTAAGCAAGCTTTAATCCTCCACAAGATTTTGCCCCACGCCCAGCGATTAACTTCCTTCCCTGACCTCAGGAAAACATATGACAGCTCTGTTCCACGCTGGTCCATCCCTTCCTGCACCCTAATGTCAGCTCTGGGGCTGCAGTGCCTGCTCTGAGCCGGGCTGTGCTGAACCCAGGCTGGGGTTCGGCTGGAATCACTGCTGGAGGGACCTGGGGCTCAGCAGGGGCTGCTCCACTGCCAGCAGCATCGGGGTCAGCCCTGCTCGTGCAGTGGGGCTCATGGGCAGAGATGCAGGAGCCAGTGCTGCAGGCCAGAGCTGCAGGAGGGCCCAGGATGTGCCCCCCCCGAGCTGCTGCTCTCATGAGTGGGACGACGCGCTCATCACGCGGGGTAATCCTCCGTGCTAAACGATCCCACAAACCTGCATGTGGTGCAACACTGCATAAAATGAGTAAAAGCTGGCGTCACCTCCCGCCTTCTGCTCTCGGTAAACAAATGCTGTTGCTGCAGGGTTATTCCCAGGGTGTTTGGAGACCCTCCCAGTTGCCAAGCGGTGCTTTCTGCCACAGCAGGAGGCGGTGGCTGCCTGTGCAGATGGAGGTATTCCTCACTTCTGCCGTGTGCGTGCTTTGCTGTCACCTCCCTTTGGTTTCCCCCTGCCCTGACTCCTCCGATCCATAGCGAGCCCTGGTCGTGCCCCTCCTCTCCCTGGTTCCCCCGCTGCACTCCTCGTTGCCCCCCGCCCTTGCCTCGCCCCTCTTCCACTTATCTCTCCTCCTCCATATAAATATCAGTGGTGACAAACTGCTACCACCAGCCCATCTGTTTCTTTGTACAAATTTGTAGCCAGTTTTGAAACGTGATTTATAAATATTGCTTTTGCAGCCAAAGAATGACACTGATGGATGTCAGCACAGATGGATCCGCTAAGCTCTCGCTTAAATCCTTCTCATTTTTTGCTTTGCACCTACTTCCCTCGGCTCCCTCCAGGCAGCAGAAAGCCGTCTTGGGAGGGTGTTGTCCCCAGGGACCAGTGTCCCCTTGGGAACACTCTTGTTGCAGTCTTGCATAGTGCCTGCAGTTACCGCCTGCAGACCCGCTCATCAGTGCCCAGCGGCACGCATTCCTGCCTGCGCTGCCAAGAGCTGCCTTGGTGCCAGGTCAGGGATGTAAGAGTGAAAGGTGACCCTGCAGGACGTTCTGCATTAGCTGAATTACCGCTGGAGCTGCGTGGAGGACTCAGGCTTTTAGAAGCAGCGCTGTTTCCTATTGGCATCTCTCGTTTTCTGCTCTCGACCTGTCCAAGTGAGCGCTTGAGCACTTGCTAATTCGTCAGATGTGAATGAAAAGTCGTTTGTGATAACTGTGAATCCAATCTGGAATGCAGATGCTTAGCAAATAAAGTGTCCAAAAGAGGAGATAGAGAAAGCTGACCTTGCCCAGGTCCAAACGGTGCCTTTCCAAAGGCATTCACCATCCTGTGACTCCTAACTCACCTTTTGCTGGGCCTTTCTGGCCCTAGAAAATTGATTACAAAAGGATCAAAGGCAATTAAAGCCTGAAATCATGTTCTCCAAGAAATGCTAATTGTGTTGGAAGGGACGGTAGAGAGCATCTAAGCCCAGCAACCTGGAAGGGTGGTAGATAATATGGAGCAACACATGGAGCTATTGACTCCGGAGCTCAAGGGCTAGGCAAGCAGATGTCAGAACTCTCTGCAGGTCTCATTAAGAGCTTGTAATGGCTGATAGAAGATCTAAAAATCATTGCAATCAAAAGCAAAATGTTAGGATTTGGGGATTGCCTCAGGATAGACAAAGCCTCCTCCAGCCCTGTAGGGATGCCTCTCTCAGCACGAACAGCACAGATGCTGATCGGATTTGGGGTGAAAAAGAGCATCGAACCTCTGCGAGAGCTGAGCCAAAGGCAAGGGAGCAGCAGTGGTGCCGTGGCCTGGCATTCAGAGAACTAGGGAGCAGAACCAGGCAACGGGGAAAAAGGGATCCTTCCCATAGCAGCTGCACCCTCTGGGGCTGGAGGAGGTCCTGGTGCATCCCCCAGGAATGGGACATGGAGGCTGCAGAGCAGAAGCAGAGAAGGGAAAGGTAGGCACCCATGGGATGGGGGAGAGGGCACAGATAGCAGCACCCAGGTCAGAGGTGGTCGCTGTCTTCTGCTGTGCTGGTGCTGATCAAGATTGAGTTATGAGGATTTATTAGCTCTGTCTTTGAAGCTGCCAAGAGCCTCTTTGGAAAGGGAGTCTGAGAGACATAATTATTTCATTATTCCTAGTCGTGTTATGCCCCCGCCAGTGTATATTGCATTCCTAAGCACTCCTCCCTCCATGCACTGACTGGTCCCTATGCTCTGCTCATGTTGGTTTCTGCCTTTTGTGACTGCTCCTCCAGCAGGTAGAGGTGCTGCTTCCTGCCCGTTGATACCATGTGGCATGGAGTAAAATCTCTGCGTGTTCCTGGACTCTGTGCTGCCTTTCTCCTGTCAGCAACTGGGAGGGTTGTGCAAGGAACAGGGATCCAGAAGGTGCTGGAGAGGGGCACATGGGTGGCAGTAGTTGGAGGAGTTGGATGCAGGCGCTGCTGGGGCCTGACAGGGGTCTGCCCATGGTGAGCAACATCCCTGGTGTGAATGTGCAATTTCTATGGCTCTTCCTCCAGTAGGATGTGCTGACATCTCCCCATTAGAAAAGAAAAATGTTGCTTTGTGATGACTGAAATAGTTTGGTGCTTGTAATTTTTGTCTCTCCCATGCACCATTTTGAGTTGCACAGCCCCTTCCTGAGCAGAGGTTTCTCACACAGAGCTTGGCTGCTCTGCTGCTTTATTTTTACTTTGTGTGTTCAGCAATGAGAATATTTCTCCCTCCCGCACTGGGCGGCGTGGAGCTCGGTGGTGCAGTGCTGTCAGAGCGAGCTGAGGGTGGCAGCTGCCTCTGCAACTTGCATGTCTATTTCCCCTTCATTTCCACAGAGCGTTTCTAAGGACACAGCATGCAGTGCTGCGTGCAGGCCCTGCTCTCAGCAGGCTGCAGACTGAAGGGGATTCCTTGGCCCCTTGCTATGAGATTCGGAGATGCACTCCAGGGCTGCTCCCTCGGTCCCATGGGGTGGATATGGAGCAGGGGACTGCTGGACCAGACCTGGCCATGGTCTCGCGGTGCCTTGTCTGAGCTGCCGTGACCGCATCTCCGCCATCTCTGGGTGCCCAGTGCTTGCGATCAGCATGGACAGCTGGGAGCTAGTCCTGGCCTCTCGCTGAGATAGCACCATTAATGTTATTTATATCTCCCCGCTACGCTGCAGCAAGCTGAGGGAGCGGCACCGAATGAGATCGTGTTACCTTTGTGCAAACGATTAGCATAACAATTCAATTTTTCCCAGCTTAGCCTTGGTAGGGAATAGGAATCTGCTCTGCTCCTCCCTCCCACTCACTTCTGCACTGGGCTGTGCTGTGCCTGGAGTCACAGCCGTGCTGCAGCCCGAGGGCAGGGACCCCGGGTAGCCTGTGGGCATAGAAGCAGCACACTCCTCTGCAGGCAGCCCCTGCCCTGTGCAGGCTGCCCACGCTGCAGCACTTGGATCTTTTCTGGTTTGGGAAGCGTGAGCCAGCGCTGCGTGCTGCAGCCCTGCAATATCTGAGTGCAATATCGCCTTATTGCTGCCTTGTGATCTGGGCTCTGGGGTGGTTGCCTTTCTGAAACGTGCTTTGTGAGCGGGGATGAATGAGGTTACCTGGAAAATTCCGTTGGTGGATGAAAGATGCTACATCCAAAGGAAGAATTCTGCTAGTGAAAACCGCAGCACAGCTCTGCATGGAGGGACAAGGTTTGGTTTTGAAGCCTGGCTGTGTGCCATTCAGTGCAGCTCTGAATGTTGGCTGGTGTGGTCCTCTGCCCAGTGTCCACGCCTCTCCCCAGCTGGAAGGAGAGCTGAGCTCTTCAGGGCAAACCCTGCATTCTCACGTGAACTGGAAGAGAGATGATGTTTTCCTGCCTCCTTTATGCCTAAATCCCAGCCATCCCCAGCAACACAGCCATGGCAGCTGAGCTCCATGCTCTGCTCTGCCCTGTCTGCAGCACGGTGCCCTGGGACCTGCCTTCATCCTGCCCGCCCCATTGCCCTACAAGTGGCTCCTGTCCCTCTGTGCCCCGGTGCTCCCAGGCTGCACCGATCCATACAGCAATTTCCGTGGTGGCAGTCGGCCCGAGAGCCACGATTAAAATAGATGTCTTTTCCGATCGAATTGCTGATTGATACAGAAAGGGGCCAGTCCGACATAAATCAGGAGCAATGAAGAGAGAGGCTGCAGACAGCAGCACCTTGCTGCAAACAGGCCAATCTACGTTTTATTAGATAAAGTCAGCAGACAGTCGGCAGCACCTTCTGACATCTGGCCACAATTGTTCAGCCACTGTTCAGTCCTTTGCCGTCCACCTGGTTCTACTGCTGGTCGGCACATGTGAGCAGGGAGCAGAGCTGATCCCAGGCCCTTTTCCTATCCTCCATGCTCTGGTTGGTGCATGGCTGCCCGGGTTCATCCCTGGCCTTGGAGCCCTGGTGTGTCACACAGTTGCTGTGTTATGGTACTGAGTGGTGCTGCTGAGCTCTTGAAGCAGCCAGGTTTGAACAGATGGAGCTGCTGGCTCAGAGGAGCTCAGCCTGCTTCTGCAGAAGTTACAAAGGACCCAGAGAGTGCTGGGCTGGGCTTTTCCCCTCTGTCTCTTGGGCAATAAGAGGCGCACAGCCCCCTTCTTGGCTGAGCTGTGAGTGCTGGAGTTGTTGTCTGGATAAGAATTTGTGCCTCTCTGCACCCCGAGGGTTCATCCTATGAGCAGAGCAGCTCATACTGACCCTGCTGTTTCTACGATGGAAATGACTTTGCTGTGGCTTTACTTCTTCCCTGCAGACAACACAGCTGCGGTGCACACGCAGAGAGTGGGCTTCAATCGCCAGGAGCAGGATGTGTACCTGCTGCCCATTTTGGTGGTGGACAGCGGCCCCCCGGCCCTCAGCAGCACGGGAACCCTGACCATCCGGGTCTGTGGCTGTGACAGCACTGGGGCCATCCAGTCCTGCAACAGCACTGCCTACGCCATGTCAGCAACGCTGAGCCCCGGCGCCCTCATCGCACTGCTGGTGTGCATCCTCATCCTGGTCGGTGAGTGCTGCCCCTGGGCACACAGGATGCTGCATTGGTTCTGGCACTGCGTGTGCTGGAGCACCAGGGCACAGTGTGGAGCAGCAGAGAAATGTGGGCTTGTTTGTGCGTGGGAATGTGATGAGGTTGGAGAGAGAATGCTGCGGTGCCCTCAGGTTCAGCACAGGGCAGCTGGAGAGCTGAGAGCCCTTCAGCACTGGGGCTGGCCTGCAGCTGGCTGCTGAGGGCTGCCAGGGCTCAGGGGAGTCCCCTCTCCTTGGCATGGCATGGTTCCCCATCTCCTGTCACGTTGCCATTTAGAAAACCCTTTCCCGTAGGATGCACTTCACACTGGTTTCATTTTCCAATGCAGTGCAAACAAATTTCTGCCTAATTGCCCAAAAGAATAAAGTGCACATTAGTGCTTAAAAGGTGATGGGCTGAATGGATGATGATCCAGGACACATCTGTGGCTTGCTGCTCATGCTCCGTGCCATCTGCTCCACAATTGCCCTCACAACATTTGGCTGCCACCACCACCCCCCCTTTCCAGTGCATCTTCCCCAGACTCCATCCGTTTGTCTGTCCAGCCATGCACTCATCCATCTGTCCCTCCCGTCTCAGTGGCTGTGCAGCATGGAAGAGGGATGTCCCGATCTGCACTGAGCCAGCATCTCTCACAGGTGGTGATGTGGCACAACTGTTGCTCTCCAGCTAGTGGGAGCCGCCGGGGCTGTGCTCTGTGCTGCCGGTGCACACTGTGCCAAAGGGGTTCTGCCTTTGTGCCCTGGTGCAGTGTGAGTGTGCTGCTGCTACACAGCACGTTGCCTGCTCTGACCGCCTCTGTGCTTCCTCCCCCAGTGCTGGTGCTTCTGATCCTCACGCTGAAGCGACACCACAAGAGCCACCTGACGTCCGAGGACGACGAGGACATGAGGGACAATGTCATCAAATACAACGACGAAGGAGGGGGCGAGCAGGACACGGAGGCTTACGACATGTCCGCCCTGCGCAGCCTCTACGACTTCAGTGAGATCAAAGGCGGGGACGGGGGCGGGGGGCCGGGAGAGGGGGGAAACCCGGCCTCTGAGCGCCATGCCCTCCCGCAGTGGGTGCAGAGCCCGGACCTGGACTTCTCCGTGTTCAGAGACTACATCTGCAGGAAGGTGGAGCAGGCGGACGAGGACCTCTCGGTGCCGCCCTATGACTCGTTCCAGACCTACGCCTTCGAGGGCTCCGACTCTCCGGTCCCCTCGCTCAGCTCCATCAACACGTGGTCCAGCGGCTCGGAGCAGGACTTCTCCTACTTGGGAGGCTGGGGGCCGCGGTTCCGGCAGCTGGCAGCGCTCTACGCGGGGCGCCGGGGCGAGGAGGACAGCGAGGAATCCTAACGGCACCGCCGGACCCGCCGGGGGCAGTGGGTCGGGGGGCTGCGGCGGTGCCGGAGGGGCTGTGCCGTGGGACCGGGGGTCGGTGTGGGTGCTCCTTCGCGGTGCTCCCGGTCGGAGCTGTGCCACAACAACCGCGCCGGGTGCCCGCGGGAGCGCTGTGACCGTCATAATCTCCTTAATGCTGATCTCCGTTAAAGCACTGCACATTAATTTAAGAAAGGGAAAAAATCTAATTCGAGAGCATTTGGAGGGGGGTTGTCCCCCACAAATTGTCATTTAAATAGATCTGTTCAGTGAGGCCCATTCAGGAGGAGAAGAGCAAACCGGGAGCCTTTTGTTGTTTAAATTGTTTTTGTCACTTGAGTCTCAGAGCATTTGGAGCGCTTTGATTCCTTTAAGAGCTTTCCTTGCAGAGGGGAACAAGCTTTTAATTCTGTTCTGCTTTTTTTCGCTTACGTTTGCTCACTTTTTGGAGTCCTCTCTATGCGCCCGGGAAGCTCACGCTGTGGCTCCGCGGGCTCATCCTGCGCAGAGCGACTGCTGCTCGGGAGCTCACTCCAAAGCGCACTTTTCTGCTGAGCTGCAATCGCTTCTCCTCTCAGCTCTTACACCTTTCCTGTGGTTGACCGAATGGCGGTGACCGGATGGGTCTCTCCTGCCATCCTGCGCTGGAGGCACTGGCTGCAACAACATCCCGGTGTGCCCCATGGCCCCGTGGTGACAGATGGGGACGTCCTGCTGCTGTGGGGGCACGGTGCTGTCCCAGCGGCGGTGCCCTGTGAGCGACCCATATGGGCCCCTGCAGCACAGCTGCTTTGCACGAACCCTCAGGTTCTGACAGGTGCACTGGGAGGAGGCAGGAGGGATGTGTCGTTTTTCCTCAGCTGCAGATGATGCTGGAGGAAAGCGCAATCTGTGGCTCCTTATCTGTTCATGTTGAAAACAATCGATGATATAACAGATAGGAAACTGATAAGGTCTACCAAGGTCTGACACATCTTGGGCTTGTCATTGGGTTTGTCCTTTTAGTTTAGCCACAGACAGTGTTTTCTATCCTTGGAGAGGGTTTAAACGTAAATGTAGATGCGTGTTTGTTTTATGCTGTTTTGCTTCCTGGCCACTGGTGTCAGCCCTCTGGCCTCAGCGTGACTCCCAGCAGCGGAGAGGTGCAGGGATGCCCCTTCCCCACAGCCCCCATCTGCACTGCTCCTCCCGTGGCCGCTGCGCTCAGCTTCCTGCAGGGCTGGGAACTGCTCACTGCTCAGGGTCCTCCGGTCCCTGCGAAGGAGGCTGCAGGCAGCCGCACTCGGCGTGCCACTGGTTCACTGTGATGATGCTGGAGAGGTAGCAGGGCTGATGGGAAGTGATGCCCTGATTCCCGGAGCAGGAGAATGGAGAAAGCCCTCTTTTTCCTCAGGAATGTGTACTTGTTTTCCTTCTGGGCTAAAGAGCTGTGTCCAAGCCTCTCCGGAGCCGGCCTTTCCTTTAGCAAAAGTGTTGTGCAATAGTAGGGCTCTGTCTGTAGGAGATGGGGTCTGACAGGGTACGTGTTTAGCCACCTTCCCCTTGGGTTTTCCCCCATCCTCAACCAGCCTGTCCTCCCACACGCATGCACGCACGCTTGCGTCTTCATTTCCATCCCCCATGTAAATACACGGGGAGAGCAGGGCCCAGCAAAGCACTGCTCCGCTGCACCGCCGCGCTCAGCCCTCCCGTGACTGCAGGAGGAGCTGTAGCTGCCACAGTTCTCTATCCAAACTAAATTAGGAGGTTGATTTTCTCACCCTTGTTATTTTTTTCAAGGTCTTTCATGGACCTGGAAATAAATTATTTCCTTGTCGTCTAGCCTGAGTCTTATTTCCTTCTTTGCCTGGTTCTGTTTCCTGGTACTGAGCTTCCAACGTGGTCCTAGATCGTGTGCCCAGAGGGCCAAGGGCAGGCTCTGCTTATCCACATCTTCCTGTTTTTCAAAGAAATGCTCATCATAAAAAGCATATTCATGGGAAAGGTCTATTTTTCTTGCTGAATTTGAAGGAAATGTTGAAAAACCAAAACACACTTGGCTTTCTCCATCTTTTGGACAGGAGAACGCCACCCTGCTCCCACCAGGATCCAGCCGGAACCCACCCAGCATCATCCTCGAAGCAAACTGCATGCCAGACAACAGAAGAAAACCTGATAGAGCATCCTCACGGTCATCCTTCCTTAGCCAACAGCATTCCCGGATGCTCTTGAGAGCACCAACCCTTAGCGCAGCTCTGCCGGCGCGGCCCGACGCCCCGGAGCTGTCCAAGCACCGGTGCTGATCGCGTTCTTCCCATCGTCACCAGCACCGGTCATCGATTGCTAGCAGGTTCTGTCAGCGTGATCCATATTCATGTGTATTGCTGCAGCATTCCGTTATCAGCTGCAGAAGAAAAAAAAAAAAGAAAAAGAAAAAAAAAAATTCTCCTTCAAGCCCAGTTTTAATACTAAAGTGATCTAAATAAATGACACTCTATCCTGACTGCGGACAAAACAATTGCTCGTGGTTTTCTTGATGGCAAGGGACTAGGAAATGAGCAATGTGACATTTGCCAACGATGTGAGATGCACTGCCCAGGGTGTTGCCAGGCTCTGGGTGCAGGGGAATGCACAGCGTGGTGGTGGCATCAGTGTAGGTCAGTAGATAACATGGGGGGAAAGTGAACCTCTCCATAAAGCAGCAGTCATTTAAGTAGCATCTTGCGGCCTTGCTCTGGAAGAGGCTGTTGATCCCCAAGATCTTGAAGTGTTCCATATCCATTGCCATCCCCATGTCTCTGCTCCCATCCTGCTCCCCTGAGCATTCACTTCATAGCAAGCAAGAGGTATTGGTGACCTTTGATGGCAGCTTTCAGTGAGATGCTGTACCAGAAGGGAGCATGGATGCTCAGACAGGAATGGTGCGCTGCCCACTCCTGGTCTACAGCGGTTTCTCTTTTCACAGTTGCAGTGGGTGCTTTGGTAGCTGCCAACATCGATGAGGCCTTTTTGCAAACATCGCTGTTAATTGCCCACACGCAGCAAGTGTGTCAGCACTGCACTCCCAGCTGTGTGCTTCACAGCTTTGGACACATTGATCCCATGGTTGTTTGCAGAGAGCTATTGATAGTTGCTGTGCATTTGCACCTTGGGTTTCCAGCCCAGAGCTTTCCTGTTCAGCTGCAACAAGCAGAGACGGGTTTCCTGAGTCCTGCTGAACACCAGGCACCAGGACAAGCATTGTAGTTATTGTGGAATATCCTGGGGGCCAGGGGCCTGGGCTATCCTAGCAGCTCCCACTGACAGAGGGAGCAGCCTGCAGTTGGTGTGCTCCTAACAAAGGGGTAATGAGTACCCAGTACTGAGTGTGTTGGGTCTGGGCCATGTAGGAGGATTTGTGTCCTGATACTGTGGGGGAATGGAGAGAACTCAAAGCAACTCAAAGCAGCCAGAACCAGACCCTTCACTACAAGAGGATTATTGAGAGCGCTGATTGCAGAAGCACCTATGAAGATGTTTTGAGAGCTCCATGCAATGCCCTCTCAGCACAGCCCTTTACAAAGAAGTGTTTCTATAGGCATTCCTCTTTCCATAGACACTCCTCCTTCTTCAGCAGTTGCATGGCTGCTCTGTGGTGCTGCTGTGTCTGCTGCTTTTGCCAAAGAGCAGTAGCTCTGCTCCTGGGGATGGCAGTGTTTGCTGTGAGTGTGTCCTGAAAAGTTTGTGCCCCTGTGCTTGCAAACCATGGTGGCACTGGGCACTGTGTCTCCTGGCACTGTGTCTCCTGGCAGTGCTGAGCAACGTTATTTTAGTGCCTTTTCTCCAGCAGGCGAGGTGGTAGAGCCTCCTCTGGGAGGAGGCAAAAGATGGATGTGATCTGCTGGGATTGTTTAGGGGAAATGAGAAAGGCAGTGATATCTGTACCCCCAGGAGAAAAATACATCTCTTGTACCCAAGAGCAAGCAAGGCCTCAAAGCCTCTGCCTCCTGCTTGCCTGGGTAATTCACTGCTTGTTAAAGTGATCAGCTTTCCCCAAAATCCTCCAAGCAGCTGCTCCATCACCAGCAAGTGGCTGCTTTAACCGCTTCTGCCACAGCTCCCCGCACCCTGCTGGTTACCAAGCCTCAGCTTCCTCTAGGGCAGGTATCAGATTCTCACTGCTCAGAATAATCTCAGTTTGGGATCTCTGCACTTCCTGCTTGGCGCAGACAGCAGCTGTGCCTTGTTTGGGGTTTCTCCTTGCAGCAGAGAGCTGAAGGGCTGCAGCTGGATAAAAAGCTGTGCTCCCTGCAAGCACCTGCTTTGCAATGTGAGTACTGCCCCTGGGGGGCCCTGCTGGGCTCTCTGCTCACCCCAACAGCTGCAAAGTGTCCTGAGCTGCCCAAACCCCAGCACCATGCTGGAGGGAAGCCTGGGTCTGGGATGAGCCTGGTGATTCTCTTCCAGAGCAATGTGGGTTCAATGACTATCCTTCCAGTTTTCAGGGGAAGACTCTGGGCTTTGCAAAGTGGGATCCCACACAGTTGGGCAGGATCTGTTGCAATCAGGAGATGCAGCCTTTGTACCAATACAGCGAAGCAGAAAGAAAGAGGGCTCACTGCCCCAGCTGCAGGATGGCTCTCATGTTGTGAGTAGGCAGTAAGGAGGAGCAAAGCAGCAGCAGCAGCTGAGTCCCCAGCATTTGCTCCTCTGTTCTGTGCTGCTCGGCGCACTGCCACCGCCTCTCTGCTGCTGCCTCTGCCAGTTGGTGGTGGTGGGATGCCAAGCACTTGTTCTTAGACATCCCTCATCTCTTGCCAGGGACAGCGAGTGCTTGCAGCACAGGGCTGTAGCCACACCGTGCTGCTGTGGATGTTTTCCATCTGTCTGTGTTGCTGCCATAGAGGGGCTGCTCAGGTGAGCCCGAGTTTTGTCCGCCAGTGGCACCAAGCAACCTGTGCAGGAGGCATCCCCATAGTGACTGATTTAACCATGGTCAAGGGAGAGGTTTTAATCCCTCCTCTGCTGGGGAAAGCACTGCTAACAGAGCCATCCATGGCCATTACAGCCCCAGCAGCTCCATGCGGTCAGAGGCCGCTTACCTTCAGCCAGGAGCGGGCAGCTGCTGAAATCCCTTCACACCGCATGCATATTAGACATAATGCTCATTACAGCTAACATGACACACCTTCATTATTCCAAAATAATTGTCTGAAAGGCTCAGCTCACTGCTCAAGCTTCACTTGGTGCAGAAACGTGATAAAAAGAAAACAGGAAGTGCAATCAATGCTTGTAATCCTTTTAAATAAAAAAAGGTACTTGGTAGTAGCTGCCAACATCTTTAAAAAGCTGTGATTTCCCCAGAGAGAGCCCTTATCAGCCATGACTGCGTGTCATTCCGGCTGTCTGTCAATCCATCAGAATCCAGTGCCACTGACATTAAGAAGCCAGGCATTAAGATTATCACATTTAGCCATAATGTAGCACAGATTGTGTTGACATTTGGAAAATATTCCACCACAGGACCCATTTGACTTCTATACTTTCTACCTAAAGAAAAGAAATGCGTTGAAAAGTTGCCGTGGGACCCTGCCCTCTGCCTGGGAAGGGCTCAGCTCTGCCCACATTGGAGAGAGAATGAGCCAGGCATGGGCTGGGAGGTGCTTGGCCATGGAAACAATGGTAAACGACCTCAAATGAACTGATTAATCTCTTAAATAACTGTGAAACCATTTTCTAGAAAAAAAGTTAATCTAGTCTAAATGGCTCTGGTGCTTTTCCTGGGCTCCAATCAATATGTGGTCGCTCGCTTTTCATGTGTAATTCACAGTAATTGCAAAAGAGCGTTTTCTGAAGAAAATGACATTCTGCAAGAAGAAATGCAAAGAGAGATGAGGGCCAATTAGCTTCAAATCCCAGACCGAGCCGTGCTCTTGGGTGCCTGGGAGAGATGGAGCAGCACTGCAGCTCTCTGTCCTGGGTCCTCACCAGGATGGCTCCAGTGGTGCCAACACCAGAGGTGAAGGAGACCACGTGTGGAGCCGTGTGGTCCAGCTGTGGGTCAGTGCAGTGCTGCCTTGTGCCCTCAGTCTCCTGCATGCTGGCTCATTTCCCTGCTTCTCCCCGTCCTCTCCCAGCACATGGCTGCACAACCATCTCCTGCTGTGCTCCGGCCAGAATATGGGGCAGGAGGAGCACTGATGTGGGGTGGTTGGAGAGGCAGTGGATGGGTGGAGCGTGGTGGAGATCCCCATCAGCCAGGGCTGCCCTAGTGCTGTGGTCTTGCCCAGGACTGGCAGTCCAAAAGGAGAACAGGCACGAGGAGGCCATTGCTTTCTGTCATCTGCTGTAAAACCAAAACATAATTTTCCAGGATGTCATTCTAATTCCAGTGGGAAAGCTTATTACTTGTGATTTACCCATAAAAAAGCCTGGTGACTTACGGCCGTGTGTCCGTGGGTTTGCCCATCAATCCATCACGGGGCTGCGGGGTGGCAGGGCAGGGAAGCACGGTGCAGGACCGAGGTGAGCCTGCTGCTGTGATTGACATGCTGCTTTCACCATCCATAAAGCTTCTGACATATTCCTTTTGGCTCAGTGCAGATCCGCACTGCTGAGCTCCAGCACAAATGTCATTAAAACATGTTCTACCCATGGTACCTATAAATAATTGAGGCAGCAGGTCTGTGCTGAGCACTGTGTTGCAGCTCTGCTCCTTCACGGAGGGGGGCCGGGAAGATGACCTTTCCTTCTCCCATTTACCACCTTTGAATTCAGGAGGTGTGTGGGGACGGAGCCTACTCACATCACTG